CCCACAGTGAAGCATGGTGGTGGCAGCATCATGTTGTGGGGATGTTATTCATCGGCAGGGACTGGGAAACTGGTCAGAATTGAAGGAATGATGGATGGCGCTAAATAAAGGGAAATTATTGAGGGAAACCTGTTTCAGTCTTCCATAGATTTGAGACTGGGTCGGAGGTTCACCTTCCAGCAGGACAATGACCCTAAGCATACTGCTAAAGCTTGGGTGGTTTAAGGGGAAACATTTAAATGTCTTGGAATGGCCTAGTCAAAACCCAGATCTCAATCCAATTGAGAATCTGTGGTATGACTTAAAGATTGCTGTATACCAGCGGAACCCATCCAACTTGAAGGAGCTGGAGCAGTTTTGCCTTGAAGAATGGGAAAAAATACCAGTGGCTAGATGTGCCAAGCTTATAGAGACATATCCCAAGAGACTTGCAGCTGTAATTGTTGCAAAAGGTGGCTCTACAAAGTATTGACGTTGGGGGGGGGGGGGGGGGGGGGGGGGGGGGGGGGTGAATAGTTATGCACGCTCAAGTTTTCAGTTTTTTTGTCTTATTTCTTGTTTGTTTCACAATAAAAAATATTTTGTATCTTCAGAGTGGTAGGAATGTTGTGTAAATCAAGCCACTGTAAGCAAGAACCCGATGGTCACTCTGACAGAGCTCCAGTGTTCCTCTGTGGAGATGGGAGAACCTTCCAGAAGGACAACCATCTCTGCAGCACTCCACTGATCATGCCTTTATGGTAGAGTGGCCAGACGGAAGCCACTCCTCTGTAAAAGGCACATGACAGCCCGCTTGGAGTTTGCCAAAAGGCACCCAAAGGTCTCTCAGACCATGAGAAAAAAGATTCTCCAGTCTGATGAAACCAAGATTGAACTCTTTGGCCTGAATGCCAAGCGTCACGTCTGGAGGAAATCTGGCAGCATCCCTACGGTGAAGCATGGTGGTGGCAGCATCATGCTGTGGGGATGTTTTTCAGCAGCAGGGACTGGGACACTAGTCAGGATTGAGGGAAAGATGAATGGAGCAAAGTACAGAGAGATCCTTGATGAAAACCTGCTTCAGAGTACTCAGGACCTCAGACTGGGGCGAAGGTTCACCTTCCAACAGGACAACGACCCTAAGCACACAGCAAAGACAACGCAGGAGTGGCTTCGGGACAAGTCTCTGAATATCCTTGAGTGGCCCAGCCAGAGCCCGGACTTGAACCCGATCTAACATCTCTGGAGAGACCTGAAAATAGCTGTGCAGCGACACTCCCCATCCTTAGTTTCATGAGCTGTTCAAGTGGCTGGTCTCAGACCATCCCGCAGGTGAAGAAGCCAGACGTGGAGGTCCTGGGCTTGCGTGGTTAACCGTGGTCTGCAGTTGTGAGGCCGGTTGGACGTACTGTCAAATTCATTAAAACGACATTGGAGGCGGCTTATGGTAGAGAAATGAACATTACATTCTCTGGCAACAGCTCTGGTGGACATTTCTGCAGTCAGCATACCAATTGCACGCTCCCTCAAAACTTGAGACATCTTTGGGTTTGTGTTGTGTGACAAAACTCTACATTTTAGAGTGGCATTTTATTGTCCCCAGCACAAGGTGAACCTGTGTAATGATCATGCTGTTTAATCAGCTTCTTGATATGCCACACCTGTCAGGTGGATGGATTATCTTGGCAAAGGAGAAATTATCACGAATAGGGATGTATACAAATGAGTGCACAAAAGTTGCGAGAAATACGATTTTTGGAAAATTTGGAAAATATCTGGGATCTTTTATTTCATCTCATGAAACATGGGACCAACACTTTACATGTTGCATCTATATTTTTGTTCAGTATATTTTCCATTTGTCACAATCAAAACACACTGAATGACAATGGCACAACGCAAGTTTTCTTTTGTTTTTGTGTAGTTACAAAAGTGTCAGACAAAACATTGTCAAAGCATTGTCATTTCACATGTAACCATTCCATTCAGTACCCTCCATTCCTATACATTGATACAATTACAACTCAAATGTTGCGCTTAAAAAAAAAAACGGAATCTACAGAAGTTCTCTCATCCAGTCATACACATAAATGACTGAAAAATAAGGGGAAAATATACAACTTCCAGATCTTGTACTCATAACAGGTGTGAGAGAAAAGAAAGAAAAGCTATTTTCTTCCACAGGACTCAAGTTTTAGTCCAGTGTGAGAAAGCACAGGCACCATAAGTAGGACCAGGAGTCTTTCCCACACCTGACCAGGAAACCACCTATAACTATGGCTTTGAGTATTCCCTGGTCTGGTCATATGGTCAGGAAACCCTAACATGGTCTAAGATCTGTTTGTGCCATCTTGCTAACCCCTAGTTCATTGTTGTCAAGACAGCACATCACTAGGAAACACCCCTGGCCCCATCTATATTGTAACAATAGGACCAGCTCTCCTCCTCCACACCTTTTGAGGTTGTCCAGAGGCTGTCTTCAGAAGCGATGACATGGTGATTTTGTCTGTACATTCAATAGCAGATTAAGAGAGCGAAAACGGACGCTGGTTCTCTTCAGTCCGTTAGAGGAACTCTACTTCTCGTGGGGAGTTCTCCAGTAGAGGAGAGCAGCATTCAACAACGACATGTAAAACATTATTGGGTAGCCATCGTAACCAACTCCAGATTCATTAGTAACAGTAACCAACTCCAGATTCATTAGTAACAGTCGCCCGTAGCAACCAGGACTGGTACCCTTGACTGGTACGGACCTTAAAATTGCTGAATCTAGATACAAAAAAACAGACCGTTTTCCCTTGAAATGGGAAGAGGTCTTAATATACACTGCTCAAAAAAATAAAGGGAACACTAAAATAACACATCCTAGATCTGAATGAATGAAATAATCTTATTAAATACTTTTTTCTTTACATAGTTGAATGTGCTGACAACAAAATCACACAAAAATTATCAATGGAAATCAAATTTATCAACCCATGGAGGTCTGGATTTGGAGTCACCCTCAAAATTAAAGTGGAAAACCACACTACAGGCTGATCCAACTTTGATGTAATGTCCTTAAAACAAATCTAAATGAGGCTCAGTAGTGTGTGTGGCCTCCACGTGCCTGTATGACCTCCCTACAACGCCTGGGCATGCTCCTGATGAGGTGGCGGATGGTCTCCTGAGGGATCTCCTCCCAGACCTGGACTAAAGCATCCGCCAACTCCTGGACAGTCTGTGGTGCAACGTGGCTTTGGTGGATGGAGCGAGACATGATGTCCCAGATGTGCTCAATTGGATTCAGGTCTGGGGAACGGGCGGGCCAGTCCATAGCATCAATGCCTTCCTCTTGCAGGAACTGCTGACACACTCCAGCCACATGAGGTCTAGCATTGTCTTGCATTAGGCCAACCGCACCAGCATATGGTCTCACAAGGGGTCTGAGGATCTCATCTCGGTACCTAATGGCTGTCAGGCTACCTCTGGCGAGCACATGGAGGGCTGTGCGGCCCCCCAAAGAAATGCCACCCCACACCATGACTGACCCACCGCCAAACCGGTCATGCTGGAGGATGTTGCAGGCAGCAGAACGTTCTCCACGGCGTCTCCAGACTCTGTCACGTCTGTCACATGTGCTCAGTGTGAACCTGCTTTCATCTGTGAAGAGCACAGGGCGCCAGTGGCAAATTTGCCAATCTTGGTGTTCTCTGGCAAATGCCAAACGTCCTGCACGGTGTTGGGCTGTAAGTACAACCCCCACCTGTGGACGTCGGGCCCTCATACCACCCTCATGGAGTCTGTTTCTGACCGTTTGAGCAGACACATGCACATTTGTGGCCTGCTGGAGGTCATTTTGCAGGGCTCTGGCAGTGCTCCTCCTACTCCTCCTTGCACAAAGGCGGAGGTAGCAGTCCTGCTGCTGGGTTGTTGCCCTCCTACGGCCTACTCCACGTCTCCTGATGTACTGGCCTGTCTCCTGGTAGCGCCTCCATGCTCTGGACACTACGCTGACAGACACAGCAAACCTTCTTGCCACAGCTCGCATTGATGTGCCATCCTGGATGAGCTGCACTACCTGAGCCACTTGTGTGGGTTGTAGACTCCGTCTCATGCTACCACTAGAGTGAAAGCACCACCAGCATTCAAAAGTGACCAAAACATCAGCCAGGAAGCATAGGAACTGAGAAGTGGTCTGTGGTCACCACCTGCAAAACCAGTCCTTTACTGGGGGTGTCTTGCTAATTGCCTATAATTTCCACCTGTTGTCTATTCCATTTGCACAACAGCATGTGAAATTTATTGTCAATCAGTGTTGCTTCTTAAGTGGACTGTTTGATTTCACAGAAGTGTGATTGACTTGGAGTTACATTGTGTTGTGTAAGTGTTCCCTTTATTTTTTTGAGCAGTGTATAAAGTCTCATGAAAATTACCTAGCTAACTGTTGGAGGTAAGCGATTGACCAATGGGGGTTAAGTGGCTTCATGAGAACTACTGTATCATAAATATAATAGAGATCAAAAATTTCTAAAAACCAGTTTTTGCTTTTTCATTATGGGGTATTGTGTGTAGATTAATGAGGGGAAAAAAAACGATTTAATCCATTTTAAAATAAGGCTGTAACGTAACAAAATGTGTAAAAAGTCAAGGGGTCTGAAAACTTTCTGAACAACCATATAAACGCAACATGCAACAATTTCAAAGATTTTACTGAGTTACAGTTCATATAAGGAAATCAGTCAATTTATATAAATTCATTAGGCCCCACTCTATGGATTTCACATGACTGGGCAGGGGCGCAGCCATGGGTGGGCATAGGCCCACCCACTTGGGAGCCAGGCCCACCCACTGGGGAGCCAGCCCCAGCCAATCAGAATGAGTTTTTCCCCACAAAAGGGCTTTATTATAGACATAAATACTCCTCAGTTTCATCAGCTGTTCGGGTGGCTGGTCTCAGACGATCCCGCAGGTGAAGAAGCCGGACATGGAGGTGTGTATGGAACATTTCTGGGATCTTTTATTTCATCTCATGAAACATGGGACCAACACTTTACATGTAGCATCTATATTTCTGTTCAGTATATTTTCCATTTGTCACAATCAAAACACACTGAATGACAATGGGACAACGCAAGTTCTTTTGTTTTTGTGTAATTACAAAAGTATCAGACAAAACATTGTCAAAGCATTGTCATTTCACATGTAATCATTCCATTCAGTACCCTCCATTCCTATAGTTTACATTGATAAAATTACAACTCAAATGTTGCGCTTAAAAAAAAAATCTACAGAAGTTCTCTCATCCAGTCATACACAGAAATGACAGAAAAATAAGGGGAAAATATGCAACTGCCATATCTGGTACTCATAACAGGTGTGAGAGAAAAGAAAGAAAAGCTATTTTCTTCCACAGGACTCAAGTTTTAGTCCAGTGTGAGAAAGCACAGGCACCATAAGTAGGACCAGGAGTCTTTCCCATACCTGACCAGGAAACCACCTATAACTATGGCTTCGAGTTTTCCCTGGTCTGGTCATATGGTCAGGAAACCCTAACATGGTCTAAGATCTGTTTGTGCCATCTTGCTAACCCCTAGTTCATTGTTGTCAAGACAGCACAGCACTAGGAAAACCCCCTGGCCCCATCTATAATGTAACAATAGGACCAGCTCTCCTCCTCCACACCTCTTCTGAGGTTGTCCAGAGGCTGTCTTCAGAGGCGATGACATGGTGAGTTTGTCTGTATATTCAATAGCAGAGTAAGAGATAGAAAATGGACGCTGGTTCTCTTCAGTCCGTTAGAGGAACTCTACTTCTCGTGGGGAGTTCTCCAGTAGAGGAGAGCAGCATTCAACAACGACATGTAAAACATTCTGGGGTAGCCATTGTAACCAACTCCAGATTCATTAGTAAGAGTCGCCCGTAGCAACCAGGACTGGTACCCTTGACTGGTACGGACCTTAAAATTGCAGAATCAAGATACAAAAAAGCAGACCGTTTTCCCTTGAAACGGGAAGAGGTCTTAATATATAAAGTCTCATGAAAATTACCTAGCTAACTGTTGGAGGTAAGCGATTGACCAATGGGGGTTAAGTGGCTTTATGAGAACTACTGTATCATAAATATAAGAGAGATGATTTTTTCTTAATAAACAAAAAGTCACTGTTATACCATGGTGTTGCTCTCTCCCACTTTGTCCACGAACTGAAAGACAGAGAGAAAATAAAAATATAAGTCAACAGTCTACCGTCCCCTTTGCAAAGTAGAGCAAAATAGATGACATCGAGAAGCTTGACTAAAACGTTTAGTGCATAGTTGTACATGGGCAATAAAATGTTTGCTTGACGTGACTGATTGAGTAGACTAAACAAAACGGTGTGTAGGATAAATTCTGTTGCTGGTGTCCTAGTATAAATTATTTCCAATACCCATGGTTCCCTACTCTGGTCAGGCATAAGGCAACATTACAGTATAACATACATTATAAACAGATGTGAATCATGCTCACATGCAAGGGAAAATCTGCAGTGACTGACCAAGACTGCGGATTGTCCTCAGAGTTAATTACGAAGGCTTTAAAGAGACAGAGACACATTCTCCTCAAAACAAGTGACTCCACAAACATACACCTCAAAACACACACACACACACACACACACACACACACACTCTTATATGATAGAAGATTGAGTGACACAGTATGAGACACTACAGCCTTCCAGAACCACTGTCAGAGACCAAGTGGACCATGTGTTGCCTTTAGTATAACTACCTCAGCCCACACAGCACCCACTGCATTGTAGCTCCTGTTCCCATTGTTTTACTCACCCAGTTGTGTAGTGGAGGATAGACGCAAGTAAACACAGTTTACCCACCAGGAAAAATGCATTGAAACTATAGGAGCGTTACTTTTTTCACCGTAACCGGCAAACAAATGTTTTATTACCACTAGATCACTGTACTCACCCCACTGATGAATGGGAGGTTTAGCAGGGAGCCCAGGATGGGTATCCTTCTGATGAAGCCTACTGCCACTGGGAAGAAACCCCTGGTGAAGATAAAGAGAAAGAGAGGGGGGAGAGAAAGAGAGAGAGTTAGTTGACAACAGCAAGCACATGATGACGGACTACGGATCTTTACACGCAGCAAAGCCCTTGCATTAAATGGGGGCTGCGCTCAACAGGGAGTGGGGGCGAGACACAGTTGACAGGACAAACAAAGCTTTCTTGGCTTGTTTCCCTCCAGACTGGATCTTATTCTAAAGATAAGCTTAGCAAACTGAGCCTGGGGACTGTGGTGTACCCACCTGAATAAAAGGAAAAAGCCATAGACCTCCAGGACCACGCCCACAATGGGCCAGCCAATAAGAACGATCAACACTCCACCCAGGAAGAAGCTGGTGGCCTTCATCTTGTGTTTCTGGAAGAAGAAGCGGAACGTCCTCTCCAGACCGATCACAAACGACAGGCCAGCCACAAACAGGATCTATAGAGAGAGATAGAAGGGACAGGGAACAGACAATGTCAATGTTTGTTGACAATGACAGAGTACTTCACAATTAAACCCTACAACTCTAGAAGGTGGTGATTGTTCTCAGTTGAGAGAGAGAGAGAGATAGAGACAGAAAGGCACACACAGATAGAGTGAACAACCGTTAACCCTCAGGCAAGGAGCTCTGACTCTGCAGCTGTGTGTTTCTCAGTGTCACTCAGAGATAATTGTATTGCAGATCACACCAACGTCCAATAAATATAGCAAAACGTAAGCCTCATGTATGTAGCTGCAGAAGGTAGGCAAACATTCTGAATATGAACTGTGGATGGTGATGATGAAATCACTCACATTTCCTATTGCAAGGAGTGCTTTGTCAAAAAACAGGATCATTCCAAAGAAGAGGAAAAACACACCGAAGCCTGTTAGTCCCATTCCGATCTCTGCAAGAAAGAGGAATCACATTATTTCAAGTATCCAAGCACACTAAAGTTAATATGTTTCAATCACAGGAGGCTGCTGAGGGGAGAACGGCTCATAATAATGGCGGTAACGGAGCGAATGGATGGCATCCAACATACCATTCCACATATTGCACGAGCCCGTCCTCCCCAATTAGGTGCCACCAACCTCCTGTGGTTTCAATTGACATCCTCGCTCCCTAACTAGCCATCTGGCTCAGAATGAATGTCATTAATTAGCTAGCTAACGTTAGCTGTCAATGGTCACTCTATCTAGCAAAAAAATACTATTCAGCTAGCTATCTATTTCTAGCTGGTTTCCTCACATTAAGAGAATAGCCTAGCTTAACTTAGCGTTAGTAATGTAGTTGAGAGGCTAGCTTGCTAACGAACGTTAGCCAAAGAGCTGGAACAAGTTGGCAAGCAACAACCGTTAGATAAAATAGAAATCGCCTTACTCTGTGAGTCCGTTAGAGAGATCATTTTGACAATGAATCAACAGCTTGTAAAATATAAAGGTTTACACTGTTAATTGTATTTTACTAAAATACAAGTTCAAATGCTATTACAACTGTAGTGCCACTGTAGCACTAGCCACGTCTTCCGGAAACACGCCTTCTTGGTTACATCAAAAAAATATTCTTCTTCCGGACAAAGTCAGGGGTGCATTCAACATTGTAAAGGGTTGTCTCAAAACGTTCGTGAAAAGGTTAACGAGAGCACGTCTCTGCTGAATATAACTAGGTAGTTGTTGGAAAATGTCTTCCCTGCCTACATACACATGTCAATATTCCGGATGGAAATGTTTTCTAGGTTGTATTATATTGTAAAATAAAATAAAATAAAACATTGATTCAGCGTTGATTACAGTTGGTTTGTTGAATGTACCCCATACCGTGGAGAAAGTGAAAGCATCCGCAATCTGATTGGTCTGCACCATTTTTTCTTTTTTCACCGGCGCGAGCTGTCTAGCAACCTTCAACAGAAAAGGGAGTGCAAAAAAACAGTGCAAACTCAAGTAGTGGGGAGAGTGAATGGTCATAGGTGAGTGTTGCTTTGCTTTGTTCTTTCAATTCCTCTTTCCCCTTTCCCATAATTTCGTTCCACACGTTATTATCATTAATGGCTAGCCAAATATTTAGCTGTCAAAAAGTTTAAGTATAATTTGCTAGCTAGTCAGCAAGGTTGGCTAACATTAACATTAGCTGTTTGGAGCAGGTGGCTGATTCCCGATGGAGGCTGGTTAACGTACTGCTAGGGTGGTTGATCATTGGCAACATATTAGCTATCTAACTATCATTGGCTAGCTATCTAATATGGTGAAGAAAAAGCTAAGAAAAAGAGTAAAGCCACATGGAGGAAGAGGAAGGGTGGGGGCTTTCCCGGTTCACACAAATGTCCGTTTACTTTGCACAATAAATGTTTAAGTTCGGCCTGCTTGCCAAAAGCTCAAGGAAACAGCTTGTCCATGTATGGATAGATTCAAAGTGTATTTTATCCATACATTTTAGAATATATCCTTTGTTAATGCACATTATACCATGGCATTGTTGAATACTTTTTTCTGATTGGCTTGAAGGGCATTCTAGAGCGTGCATTATTTCCCTTTATAAACTGGGTAGTTTGAGCCTTGAATTCTGATTGGCTGAAGGCCATGGTATATCAGACCGTATACCAAGGGTATGACAAAACATTTCGTTTTACTGATCTAATTACATTGGTAACCAGTTTATAATAGCAATAAGGCTCCTCTGGGGTTTATGATATATGGCCAATATACCACGGCTAAGGGTTGTGTCCTGGCACTCTGCGTTGTGTCGTGATTAAGAACAGCCCTTAGCCATGGTATATTGGCCATATACACCTCCTCTGGCATAATTGCTTAAATAACGCACAGTATATTTGCACGGTAGAATTCAATGGCAATAGTTAATTCTTACATGTTCTATGTTTGAGCTGCTTTTGAAAGCAATAGTCGAATTGAAAACATTATTGGCATTGTTGAATTTGATTTTCATAATGGCAAGCTAGGACTGATGGTTTGGTTAACTAAACTAGCAGGACTGTTTGTTTGGTTACCATAGCAACTATGTAGCTATCTAGTAAGCTTGCTAGCTACGTCAGTGGATGTTGAACACATTTCTAGGGGCAAATCTGTTAAATTATAGCTATGGTATAAAAGGGATAATCAACCCGGGACTCTGCGTTCTCTGGATAATAATAAATAAAAAAATGCAACTTTGTGGAAGGTCAGTTCCACTCTGCTAGCGCGTTGTGGAACACACCTTCCATGTCACTCATTATTTTCCATAGAACGCATAGCCCCTCGTTGATTATTCCTTACATATCCAATGTTGAGGGAGAAAGATTGTAAGCAATCTTATAAACACCCCTTGACCTTTTTTTTCCCCCACATTTTGTTGTGTTACAAGGTGAGATTAAAATGGATTTTAGTTGTAATTTTTTGTTAACTATCTACCCAAAATACTGTAATGTCAAAGTGGAAGAAAAATGATAACATTTGTAAAATAATAAAATAAAATAATAGTCTTGATTACGTAAGTATTCAACCCCCTGAGTCAATACATGTTAGAATCACCTTTGTCAGCGATTACAGCTGAGTCTTACTGGGTAAGTCTCTAGAGCTTTGTATACCTGTATTGTACAATATTTGCACATTATTATTAAAAACATTTTTCAAGCTCTTTCAAGTTGATTGTTGATCATTGGTAGACAGCCATTTTCAAGTCTTGCCATAGATTTTCAAGCCAATTTGTCAAAACTGTAACTAGGCCACTCGGGAACATTCAATGTCGTCTTGGTAAGCAACTCCAGTATATATTTGGCCTTGTGTTCTAAGTTATTGTCCTGCTGAAAGGTGAATTTGTCTCCCAGTGTCAGTTGGAAAGCAGACTGAACCAGGTTTTCCTCTAGGATTTTGCCTGTGCTTAGCTCTATTCCGTTTATTTTTATCTTAAAAAACTCCCTAGTCCTTGCCAATGACAAGCAAACCCATAACATTCAGCCACCACCATGCTTGAAAATATGGAGAGTGCTACTCAGTGATGTGTTTGTTGTGTTGGATTTTCCCCAAACATAACACTTTGTATTCAGGACATAAAGTTAATTTCTTTGCCACATTTTATGAAGTTTTACTTGCCTTATTGCAAACAGGCTGCATGTTTTGGAATATATTTTATTCTGTACAGGCTTCCTTCTTTTCACTCTGGCATTTAGGTTAGTATTGTAGAGTAACTACAGTGTTGTTGATCCATCCTCAGTTTTCTCCTATCAAAACCATTCAACTCTGTAACTGTTTAAAGTCACCATTGGCCTCATGTAGGGCTGGGCGATATAGCCTAAAAATCATATCTCAATTTTTTTTCAAACTTTATGCGCTTCTCGTAAAAAATATAATATTTTCTCTAAATAAGCGTAGTTGTACTATTAAAGGTCAAATACACTGCATTTCAAACAGTCAGCAATAATATAATGAATTCAGGGCTTGTGAAGTTATACCTAGGCTAAATATAAGCCTTCCACAACCATAGAACCCACTAATAATTTTATAAAAATAGTTTTGCAATAATCACTGATCTGGCTTTCAAGTCTGTCTATGAAAATGCCCTTTTTTGTTACAAATGTAACTAGAACCATGCATAATGCACATTCACTAATAATGACTAACTTCTTGTAGCAGGCATTAGGCTACAGAAAATTAACACAGGTCTCATCAACAATTGTTATATTTCAAGTTTAGCCTCTTGGATCTACTTGCTAGCTAACAAGGTTGAACAGTTGAATTGTTATGAACACACCCTTTTGTCTGTCTCCAACTGTTTGAAAAGAATGTTTGCATGTCCACTTTGTTCAGATGTTGAAATCAAGTGGCCTACCTTATTTCTCAGAATGAGAATGAGTAGCCAATTCCTTATATAATTGTGTTTATGCTTATTGCACATTTATAAATCACAGACTAGACAGCTAGTATAATAACAGCCTTTGTCTAAAATGCTGCTAGCGGTACGTGGTACCCCAATGCCGCGCGCAACAAACTGTGCAATAATTTTACAGAATCAATGTTCGTTGATACTCTCGTTTTAGTAGTCTGCTCTGCATGCAATTTGAGTAGTTGAGACAACTTTTCTAACGATAAACTTTTTAACTTTTCCTTTATTACAGTAAAATCATGTCTCAATGTGTTTTGGTGTCCATATGACCGATTCTGCTGGACCAAACCTCAAATGCAAATAGTGAGTTGAAACCGCTTGTCAGAGAGGAAGCTGTGATCTCTCAACTTTTTTGGTAAGAGAGGCAGGGGGAGGGGCTTGGTGTGTGTGTGTAAACCATAGAGGAAGAGACGAAGCGAGAGGTTTCACTTTCGCTCAAATCTGTCAAAAAATAAGGCCAATGTGTTTCTATGGGCTTATTTAGGATCTAAGCTTGTCGCCTGCCTTCCCGCCTTTGGGACAACGACTCTCATTGTTAGGGCAGAGACGTGCATCTCGTCATTATATACAGATCTGTTGTGTAAATGGGAAGGTTCACAAAGCACATCTACCAATATGTGCCCTTCTTTGAGAGGCATTGGAAAATCTCCCTGGTCTTTGTGGTTGAATCTGTGTTTGAAATTCACTCCTCGACTGAGGGACCTTACAGATAATTGTATGTGTGGGGTACAGAGATGAGGAAGTCATTCAAAAAATCATGTTAAACACCATTATTGCACACAGTGAGTCCATGCAACTTATTATGTGACTAGTTAAGCACATTTTTACTTCTGAACTTATTTAGGCTTGCCATTGCAAAGGGTTTGAATACTTATTGACAAGACATTTCAGCTTTTAATTTGTAAAAATGTATAAAAACATAATTCAACTTTGACATTATGGGGTATTGTGTGTAGGCCAGTGACACACAATCTCAGTTGAATCCATTTTAAATTCAGGCTGCCTGTAACATAACAAAATCAGGAAAAAATTAAGGGGTGGGAATTCTTTCTGAAGGCATTGCATAACACTGACATTTAACTCCCTCATTCAACAGAGTGATACAATTCTGCAAGGTGGTTGATTGCATTGTAGATTTGTCTTGGAAATGGACAGTGACAGTGCCAATGGTAAGTGACTTTAATCTCACATTTCTATCCCCCTTTCTCAAAATTATGGTAAAAAACCCATAGAGAAACAGACAGAGCTGAGCTTGGATCTCATCATCCAAGGTATTGGATATGCTATTGTTTTTGCGAACTGAGCTGAGCAGGTGAGTCCAGAGGGACAGGTGCTACTCTATCCTCCCCCAGGGGGTATAATGGTGACTGTGAGAGAGACTGATGTGTGTCTGACATCATTAGTGCCCTACCTGTGAAACACAGGTCGTTAGTGACTTGGTGGTGTCAGACCTGAAAGTCTCCTCGTATAGGATCACATGGGATTGGTCCCAGAGGAAAGCTAACCAGGGCAGATTGTGCCAAACTTTGAAATTAATATAATAATAATTGATATTAGGCCCTGGCCAACATATTTACAGTGTTTATCTACAAGGATTTAGCACAGCATTTAAAAGAGAAGTGAGCTTGCTGTTTTCCATTTCTGATTCATGGTACCACTCTTGTCTTTGTGCATGTGTGTTCAATTCATATTCTATATTATTTCTATGTAGGGCCTAGATACCGTAGAGAACTTTGACTGCAGTGAATGGAAAAAGTAATTAAAAGATAAAATGGTGATTAGCCTATTGTTCTCCTCCCTACCAGAGGGGCATGTGTGTTACATGAATGCTCAATCGTAAGTAGTAGATACCATAGAGCACATTGACTACGGCATATAAAAAAACCTTTGTTAAATAATTATGGTTTAATTTTTTGTTCTCCTCCCCCAGACGTGCAGGCAGAGCTGGACTCAGTGGAGGCAGAGCTGGAGGTGGTGGAGCTGCAGATAGCTGAGCTGCTGGAGAAGCAGGCTAGCCTGACCTCCAGGAAGAAACGGCTGCTCTGCAAGCTGGAGGAGGCATGTGACTCCGCCCAGCCCTCTGGATCCTCCTCAGGCTCTGGATCTGGACCTGCAATGACCAAGCAGGAGCTGTTGCGCTATGAGAATGATGGTACAGTGGCACATACATACAATATACACTGAGTGTACAAAACATTAAGAACACCTTCCTAATATTGAGTTCAACAGGGATGCTGGCGAATGTAGACTCCAATGTTTTCCACAGTTGTCAAGTTTTCTGGATGTCCTTTGGGTGGTGGACCATTCTTGATACACACGGGAAAATGTTGAGTGTGAAAAACCCAGCAGCATTGCAGTTCTTGACACACTCAAACCGGTGCGCCTGGCACCTACTAACATACTCCGTTCAAAGGCACTTAAATCGTTTGTCTTGCCCATTCACCCTCTTAATGGCACAGATACACAATCCATGTCTCAATTGTCTCAAGGCTTAAAAATCCTTCTTTAACCTGTCTCCTCCCCTTCATCTACACTGATTTGAAGTGGATTTAACAAGTGACATCAATAAGGGATGATAGCATTCACCTGGTCAGTCTATGTTAGGGATGCAAATTTAGGTCAATTTTGTTGGCGACTAACTGACCCTCATTAACTGGTCAACAAAAGGTTTTTAAAAAATCCAAACAAAAATCCAAACAGTCAAATAACATGACCAAAAGAAAATACAATCAGAGATCTGTATACAGTGGGGAAAAAAGTATTTAGTCAGCCACCAATTGTGCAAGTTCTCCCACTTAAAAAGATGAGAGAGGCCTGTAATTTTCATCATAGGTACACGTCAACTATGACAGACAAAATGAGAATTTTTACTCGCCAGAAAATCACATTGTAAGATTTTTAATGAATTTATTTGCAAATTATGGTGGAAAATAAGTATTTGGTCAATAACAAAAGTTTCTCAATACTTTGTTATATATCCTTTGTTGGCAATGACACAGGTCAAACGTTTTCTGTAAGTCTTCACAAGGTTTTCACACACTGTTGCTGGTATTTTGGCCCATTCCTCCATGCAGATCTCCTCTAGAGCAGTGATGTTTTGGGGCTGTCGCTGGGCAACACGGACTTTCAACTCCCTCCAAAGATTTTCTATGGGGTTGAGATCTGGAGACTGGCTAGGCCACTCCAGGACCTTGAAATGCTTCTTACGAAGCCACTCCTTCGTTGCCCGGGCGGTGTGTTTGGGATCATTGTCATGCTGAAAGACCCAGCCACGTTTCATCTTCAATGCCCTTGCTGATGGAAGGAGGTTTTCACTCAAAATCTCACGATACATGGCCCCATTCATTCTTTCCTTTACACGGATCAGTCGTCCTGGTCCCTTTGCAGAAAAACAGCCCCAAAGCATGATGTTTCCACCCCCATGCTTCACAGTAGGTATGGTGTTCTTTGGATGCAACTCAGCATTCTTTGTCCTCCAAACACAACGAGTTGAGTTTTTAACCAAAAAGTTATATTTTGGTTTCATCTGACCATATGACATTCTCCCAATCCTCTTCTGGATCATCCAAATGCACTCTAGCAAACTTCAGACGGGCCTGGACATGTACTGGCTTAAGCAGGGGGACACGTCTGGCACTGCAGGATTTGAGTCCCTGGCGGCGTAGTGTGTTACTGATGGTAGGCTTTGTTACTTTGGTCCCAGCTCTCTGCAGGTCATTCACTAGGTCCCCCCGTGTGGTTCTGGGATTTTTGCTCACCGTTCTTGTGATAATTTTGACCCCACGGGGTGAGATCTTGCGTGGAGCCCCAGATCGAGGGAGATTATCAGTGGTCTTGTATGTCTTCCATTTCTTAATAATTGCTCCCACAGTTGATTTCTTCAAACCAAGCTGCTTACCTATTGCAGATTCAGTCTTCCCAGCCTGGTGCAGGTCTACAATTTTGTTTCTGGTGTCCTTTGACAGCTCTTTGGTCTTGGCCATAGTGGAGTTTGGAGTGTGACTGTTTGAGGTTGTGGACAGGTGTCTTTTTTACTGATAACAAGTTCAAACAGGTGCCATTAATACAGGTAACGAGTGGAGGACAGAGGAGCCTCTTAAAGAAGAAATTACAGGTCTGTGAGAGCCAGAAATCTTGCTTGTTTGTAGGTGACCAAATACTTATTTTCCACCATAATTTGCAAATAAATTCATTAAAAATCCTACAATGTGATTTTCTGGAATTTTTTTTCCTCAATTTGTCTGTCATAGTTGACGTGTACCTATGATGAAAATTACAGGCCTCTCTCATCTTTTTAAGTGGGAGAACTTGCACAATTGGTGGCTGACTAAATACTTTTTTCCCCCACTGTATAATGACGAGATGCTTATGTTTCCGCTCTAACAATGGGAGTCGTCCCAAGGCGGGAAGGCAGGCGACAAGTTTAGGCCCAAAATAAGCCCATAGAAACGCGTTGGACAGATTTTGGCGAGAGTGAAACATCTCGCTTCGTCGCCTCTTCCTCTCTGATACTATGCATGCATACAAGGACCGGACATTTTTCATTATGAGGTTAATGGAAACATGCAACAATAGCAAGCCTATCGTCTTACTGTCAAAAGTCGATAACCTATTATTTAACATGCAACTCCTTTAATGAAGCGGCTAATAAAACCTCATTTTCAAAACATTTGCCCAAATGCAATTCGCGGAAAAAAACACAGTTCTAAAGTGCGCACCTAATGCGAGCAGTTCCATATGTGACAGAGATGAAAATCTCAGTTAGAAACGTAGAAAGAGTGGGAATCTAATAGCAACTATTATGATGGGTTGCTAATATGACTAGGATTGTGCCTTTGGCTTCTGGACAACGAAATAAAGTTTATGTGAAAACCAATAGAACAGGAGAGAAATCTTGGTTAATGGCATGAGGAAGTCTTTATAAAATAATTGCCTCCACGTTTCTATGGATGGATTTTTGCAAGGCTACTTTGAAGTAAGGTAAGACATGCCTCGTTATTGAAGTAAAGTAAAATGTTCAGATTTCAAAACAATTATCTGCCTCAAGCTCACATTGCAAAGTGGTGGGTGACGCACTGATAGTCAACGGTTAGCAGGCTACAGCCTATGCATCCGAATGGCGAACGAGTTGAGATTGAGAAATAAAAATAGTTCATTTTTAATCGTGGCCACCAAAATTAACACGAGATTGCATTTAGAATTGTTATTTGTTGCGCAATGACTGGGTTTAAAAAAGCAGGTTTCACTCCAGTAGCCTACAGGCTTTTTGAGGAGCAACTCTGTCTGACAGGTGGTAGGCTATTCCGCTCCTTAAACTAGGCTCTGTATGCTGTGCACGTGTGATAAATTAAATGCATGACGACTAACGAAAATACACATGCACCAATTTAATTCCACAAAATTATGCTAGTTAACCTATAGAGCGAGAAGCATGATCTCTCAAATGTATTTTCGGCTAACCGATTAACACTTAACCTTAACATCCCTAGTCTATGTCATAGAAAAAGCAGGTGTTCAGTGTGTGTGTGTGTGTATGTATGTATGTATGTATGTATGTATGTGTTTGCATATATATATACAGTACCAGTCAAAAGTTTGGACACACCTACTCTTTCAAAGGTTTTTCTTTATTTGTACTATTTCTATGTTGTAGAATAATAGTGAAGACATCAAAACGATGAAATAACACATGGAATCATGTAGTAACCATGTAGTAGCTATTTTACCAAGAAGGAGAGTGATTGAGTGCTGCATCAATGACCTGGCCTCCACAATCCCCCGACCCTCAACCCAATTGAGATGGTTTGGGATGAGTCGGACAGCAGAGTGAAGGAAAAGCAGCTAACAAGTGCTAAGCGTATGTGGGAACTCCTTCAAGACTGTTGGAAAAGCATTCCAGGTGAAGCTGATTGAGAGAATGCCAAGATGTGCAAAGCTGTTCATGAAGGCAAAGGGTGGCTATTTGAAGAATCTCAAATAGAAAATATATTTTGATTTGTTTAACACTTTTTTTGGTTGCTACATGATTCCATATGTGTTATTTCATAGTTTTTATGTCTTTTTATTATTCTACAATGTAAAAAAAATAGTAAAAAATAAAGAGAAACCCTTGAATGAGTAGGTGTGTCCAAACTTTTGATTGGTAGTGTATATATATATATATTTATTTGTTTCTTAAATGATTCCACTATTTGAAGGGGTGTCCACATACTTTTATGTACACAACCGTTCAAAAGTTTGCGGTCACTTAGAAATGTCCTTGTTTTCGAAAGAAAAGCAATTTTTTTTGTACATTTAAAATAACATCAAATTGATCAGAAATACAGTATAGACATTGTTAATGTTGTAAATGGCTATTGTAGCTGGAAACGGCTGATTTTTAATAGAATATCTACATAGATGTACAGAGGCCCATTATCAGCAACCATCAGTCCTGTGTTCCAATGGCACGTTGTGTTTGCTAATCCAAGTTTATCTTTTTAAAAAGGCTAATTGATCATTAGAAAACCCTTTTGCAATTATGTTAGCACAGCTGAAAAACTGTTGTGCTGATTAAAGAAGCAATACAACTGGCTTTTTTATTTATTTATTTTTATTTATTTTTATTTAACCTTTATTTACCAGGGAAACCAGTTTAGAAAAAGTTCTATTTTCAAAGCGACCTGGCCAAGAAAAGCAAAGAGTGCGTTAAAACAACAACCAGGTTACATCGGGGGGAAAAAAAAACAAGTCAAAAATACCCCGAAAATATATAACAGTGGGAAATGTAGCAAATTAGGGGTAGGAATAAAAGGGCCCTGGCAAAAAAATTCAATTAGTATTACACTGGAATAAGTTCAGAGAGGCAAATAGAGATACGGGGGGGCAAATTACAAAATAAAAACAATTGGGATAGGGAGTTTGGGGGGGCTAATTTCAGATGGCTGTGTACTAGGGGCGGTAAAAGGTGCTCTGAAATGAAAAAGCTTAAAATTAGTGGGGGGGATAAATCCCAGCTCAGAGATTTTTGCAATTCGTTCCGTCCTTGGCACGAGAACTGGGAAGGGTGGCGGCCGGGGTGTTGGCTTTTGGGGGTGACCATGAATATACCTGCTGACGCATCTACGGGTGGGTGTTGCTATGGTGACCAATGAGCTAAGTAAGCAGAGTTTGCCTGCAGTATTTATAGAGGGCCCGGACCCGTGGGTTGGCGACAATTGTTGGGGAAAAAAAGAGGTAAGGTAAGTGGTGGGTAGTAATGGGGGGGAAAAAGGGGTGGAGAAAAATAAACCCTTTGGGAGAGGTTTTGGGAGAAAAAAAATGTCCAAGAAGGATGGGGGGTGAGTTTTTAGGCAGGGCGAGAGGAGAGGTTTGTTTGGTGGTGACAGAAGGGGAGACTTAAAGGGGGCGGGAAGGGGTTTGTTAGTATTGGTTTGTCCCCAAACTTCCTTTCTACCCTCAATGTGCATTGGGGGGGGCGGGTGCCCGCCAAACATTCGAGAAGCCCGATTTTAGTTTTACTAGTGAAGAGCGTTGGAAGAAGGAGTTTTTTTTTTTATGTAATTTAAACTGGGGTTTTAACACAGTTTTGAAGGGGCCAGTATAACAATGGGTGTCTGCGGGTGGCGGGTCCCCCGAGCAAAGGGCATCATTTTTTTTACAAAGAAAGAGTGGCCCAAGAATTGAACCCTTTGGATGAACCTGCCATAGGGGCCATAAACAGGGCCTCCGATTTTGACACAAACTCTATCTGAAGGTTTGGGTGAACCGGGGCACCCCTTTTTGAAACCAAGGCATTTAGCCCGCCAAAAAATCTTTTGAAAGGGGAAAGCCCGGCCCGGGCATGAAACGGCTGAAAATTTCTGTCTTTATCGTTGCGGGGTTATAAAATATCGTTTAGGACCTTGAGCGTGGGTGAGGGGGCACCCATACCAGCTCGGAAAATGGTGCTAGCGGAAGGGACGGTGGGATTTGAAATGGGCGGTGATCTTTTTTTTTAAATTGGCTTTCAAAACTTTCAAATGGCGGGCAAAAGGATTAGGTCTGTAAAAATTTTTTGGTCTAATTTTCACCCCCTTGAAGAGGGGAAAACCCACGGCAGCTTTCCAACCTGGGGGATCTGACTTTTCAAAACGAGGGTTGGGACGCTGTAATAGGGGGTTCGCAATTTCGGGGCTAGTTTTTTGAAGAAAGGGTCCAGATTGTTAGCCCGATGATTTTTAGGGTTTCCCAAATTTGCAGCCTTTCAGAAAACCCTGTCTGAAATTTTTGTGAAGGAAATCTCAACGTCAAAAATGAAAGGGGGACTCCGGGGTTCTGACCTTTTGGGCAAGTTTTCAAAAAAACCATATCCAGACTGGCCAAAAAAAAAAAAGATTTTTTTTTATTTTTACCTTTATTTAACCAGGGAAGCCAGTTGAGAACAATTCTCATTTCAACTGGCCGCCCAAAATAAAGCAAACGTGCGATAAAAACAACAACCGAGTTACATATGGGGGAAAAAAAAACATAAGGTCATAAAATACAACGAAAAAATTTACATGTGTCAAAAGTAGCAAATTTTTGGAGGTAAGGGAAAAATAGGCTTTGTGCCCAAAAAAATTTCAAATTTGTATTAAAACTTAATCTAATTGCAAGAGATTATTTCAAAAGAATACTGGGGGCAAAAAAAGGGAAAAAAAATAACAATTAGGGGTGGGTTTGGTGGGCTAAATTTCAAGTGCTGTGTACAGGGGCAGTGCGTAAGGGTTTTCCCGAAACTGATGCTTAAAATTATGGGGAGTAATTTGGGTCTGAGATAGGTTTTTCTTTCACTCTGCATTTGTGCATAAAATGTTCCAAAACCCGGGTTTTAAATCTATTTCAAAAATCTCAAATTTCTTTTTACATACTTTTTAGTAAGATTTAATAATTTTATTTGAAAAGACAAATGTTGAATATTTTTATGTATTTCACAATACCCACTACTCAAATACACTCCCATGCATTTAACCCCGTATTTTTTTTTTTTAAAAAAAAAAAAAAAAAATTTGGAAAAAAAATTTACTTCAAATACAAAAAAGGCCCCTTTTTTAAATGGGAAAAAATACATTTAAGGGTTACAAAATTAAAAAAACAAAAAAAATTTAACAAATTTGAAAGAAAAATATTCATTTTTAAACCCAAGTTTTTTTTTATGTAACAAGTTCAAACAGGTGCCATTAATACAGGTAACGAGTGGAGGACAGAGGAGCCTCTTAAAGAAGAAATTACAGGTCTGTGAGAGCCAGAAATCTTGCTTGTTTGTAGGTGACCAAATACTTATTTTCCACCATAATTTGCAAATAAATTCATTAAAAATCCTACAATGTGATTTTCTGGAAATTTTTTTTCCTCAATTTGTCTGTCATAGTTGACGTGTACCTATGATGAAAATTACAGGCCTCTCTCATCTTTTTAAGTGGGAGAACTTGCACAATTGGTGGCTGACTAAATACTTTTTTCCCCCACTGTATAATGACGAGATGCTTATGTTTCCGCTCTAACAATGGGAGTCGTCCCAAGGCGGGAAGGCAGGCGACAAGTTTAGGCCCAAAATAAGCCCATAGAAACGCGTTGGACAGATTTTGGCGAGAGTGAAACATCTCGCTTCGTCGCCTCTTCCTCTCTGATACTATGCATGCATACAAGGACCGGACATTTTTCATTATGAGGTTAATGGAAACATGCAACAATAGCAAGCCTATCGTCTTACTGTCAAAAGTCGATAACCTATTATTTAACATGCAACTCCTTTAATGAAGCGGCTAATAAAACCTCATTTTCAAACATTTGCCCAAATGCAATTCGCGGAAAAAACACAGTTCTAAAGTGCGCACCTAATGCGAGCAGTTCCATATGTGACAGAGATGAAAATCTCAGTTAGAAACGTAGAAAGAGTGGGAATCTAATAGCAACTATTATGATGGGTTGCTAATATGACTAGGATTGTGCCTTTGGCTTCTGGACAACGAAATAAAGTTTATGTGAAAACCAATAGAACAGGAGAGAAATCTTGGTTAATGGCATGAGGAAGTCTTTATAAAATAATTGCCTCCACGTTTCTATGGATGGATTTTTGCAAGGCTACTTTGAAGTAAGGTAAGACATGCCTCGTTATTTGAAGTAAAGTAAAATGTTCAGATTTCAAACAATTATCTGCCTCAAGCTCACATTGCAAAGTGGTGGGTGACGCACTGATAGTCAACGGTTAGCAGGCTACAGCCTATGCATCCGAATGGCGAACGAGTTGAGATTGAGAAATAAAAATAGTTCATTTTTAATCGTGGCCACCAAAATTAACACGAGATTGCATTTAGAATTGTTATTTGTTGCGCAATGACTGGGTTTAAAAAAGCAGGTTTCACTCCAGTAGCCTACAGGCTTTTTGAGGAGCAACTCTGTCTGACAGGTGGTAGGCTATTCCGCTCCTTAAACTAGGCTCTGTATGCTGTGCACGTGTGATAAATTAAATGCATGACGACTAACGAAAATACACATGCACCAATTTAATTCCACAAAATTATGCTAGTTAACCTATAGAGCGAGAAGCATGATCTCTCAAATGTATTTTCGGCTAACCGATTAACACTTAACCTTAACATCCCTAGTCTATGTCATAGAAAAAGCAGGTGTTCAGTGTGTGTGTGTGTGTATGTATGTATGTATGTATGTATGTATGTGTTTGCATATATATACAGTACCAGTCAAAAGTTTGGACACACCTACTCTTTCAAAGGTTTTTCTTTATTTGTACTATTTTCTATGTTGTAGAATAATAGTGAAGACATCAAAACGATGAAATAACACATGGAATCATGTAGTAACCATGTAGTAGCTATTTTACCAAGAAGGAGAGTGATTGAGTGCTGCATCAATGACCTGGCCTCCACAATCCCCCGACCTCAACCCAATTGAGATGGTTTGGGATGAGTCGGACAGCAGAGTGAAGGAAAAGCAGCTAACAAGTGCTAAGCGTATGTGGGAACTCCTTCAAGACTGTTGGAAAAGCATTCCAGGTGAAGCTGATTGAGAGAATGCCAAGAGTGTGCAAAGCTGTCATGAAGGCAAAGGGTGGCTATTTGAAGAATCTCAAATAGAAAATATATTTTGATTTGTTTAACACTTTTTTGGTTGCTACATGATTCCATATGTGTTATTTCATAGTTTTTATGTCTTTTTATTATTCTACAATGTAAAAAAAATAGTAAAAAATAAAGAGAAACCCTTGAATGAGTAGGTGTGTCCAAACTTTTGATTGGTAGTGTATATATATATATATATTTATTTGTTTCTTAAATGATTCCACTAATTTGAAGGGGTGTCCACATACTTTTATGTACACAACCGTTCAAAAGTTTGCGGTCACTTAGAAATGTCCTTGTTTTCGAAAGAAAAGCAATTTTTTTTGTACATTTAAAATAACATCAAATTGATCAGAAATACAGTATAGACATTGTTAATGTTGTAAATGGCTATTGTAGCTGGAAACGGCTGATTTTTAATAGAATATCTACATAGATGTACAGAGGCCCATTATCAGCAACCATCAGTCCTGTGTTCCAATGGCACGTTGTGTTTGCTAATCCAAGTTTATCTTTTTAAAAGGCTAATTGATCATTAGAAAACCCTTTTGCAATTATGTTAGCACAGCTGAAAACTGTTGTGCTGATTAAAGAAGCAATACAACTGGCTTTTTTATTTATTTATTTTTATTTATTTTTATTTAACCTTTATTTAACCAGGTAAGCCAGTTGAGAACAAGTTCTCATTTACAACTGCGACCTGGCCAAGATAAAGCAAAGCAGTGCGATTAAAAACAACAACACAGAGTTACATACGGGGTAAAACAAAACAAAGTCAAAAATACCACAGAAAATATATATACAGTGTGTGCAAATGTAGCAAGTTATGGAGGTAAGGCAATAAATAGGCCATAGTGCAAAATAATTACAATTAGTATTAACACTGGAATGATAGATGTGCAAGAGATGTGCAAATAGAGATACTGGGGTGCAAATTAGCAAAATAAATAACAATATGGGGATGAGGTAGTTGGGTGGGCTAATTTCAGATGGACTGTGTACAGGTGCAGGGATCGGTAAGGTGCTCTGACAACTGATGCTTAAAGTTAGTGAGGGAGATAAGTCTCCAGCTTCAGAGATTTTTGCAATTCGTTCCAGTCATTGGCAGCAGAGAACTGGAAGGAATGGCGGCCAAGGGAGGTGTTGGCTTTGGGGATGACCAGTGAGATATACCTGCTGGAGCGCATACTACGGGTGGGTGTTGCTATGGTGACCAATGAGCTAAGATAAGGCAGAGATTTGCCTAGCAGTGATTTATAGATGGCCTGGAGCCAGTGGGTTTGGCGACGAATATGTAGTGAGGACCAGCCAACAAGAGCGTACAGGTCACAGTGGTGGGTAGTATATGGGGCTTTGGTGACAAAACGGATGGCACTGTGATAGACTACATCCAATTTGCTGAGTAGAGTGTTGGAGGCTATTTTGTAAATGACATCGTCCAAGTCAAGGATCGGTAGGATAGTCAGTTTTACGAGGGCATGTTTGGCAGCATGAGTGAAGGAGGCTTTGTTGCGAAATAGGAAGCTGATTCTAGATTTAATTTTGGATTGGAGATGCTTAATGTGAGTCTGGAAGGAGAGTTTACAGTCTACAGTATTTGTAGTTGTCCACATACTCTAGGTCAGACCCGTCGAGAGTAGTGATTCTAGTCGGGTGGGCGGGTGCCAGCAGCATTCGATTGAAGACCATGCATTTAGTTTTACTAGTGTTTAAGAGCAGTTGGAGGCTACTGAAGGAGTGTTGTATGTCATTGAAGCTCGTTTGGAGGTTTGTTAACACAGTGTCCAATGAAGGGCCAGATGTATACAAAATGGTGTCGTCTGCGTAGAGGTGGATCTGAGAGTCACCAGCAGCAAGAGCGACATCATTGATATACACAGAGAAAAGAGTCGGCCCAAGAATTGAACCCTGTGGCACCCCCATAGAGACTGCCATAGGTCCATACAACAGGCCCTCCGATTTGACACATTGAACTCTATCTGAGATGTAGTTGGTGAACCAGGCGAGGCAGTCATTTGAGAAACCAAGGCTATTTAGTCTGCCAATAAGAATGCGGTGTTTGACAGAGTCGAAAGCCTTGGCCAGGTCGATGAAGACGGCTGCACAGTTCTGTCTATTATCGATTGCGGTTATAATATCGTTTAGGACCTTGAGCGTGGCTGAGGTGCACCCATGACCAGCTCGGAAACTGGATTGCATAGCGGAGAAGGTACGGTGGGATTCGAAATGGTCGGTGATCTGTTTGTTAACTTGGCTTTCAAAAACTTTCAAATGGCAGGGCAGGATGGATATAGGTCTGTAACAGTTTGGATCTAGAGTGTCACCCCCTTTGAAGAGGGGGATGACCACGGCAGCTTTCCAATCTCTGGGGATCTCAGACTTTACGAAAGCGAGGTTGGTACAGGCTAGTAATAGGGGTTGCGACAATTTCGGCGGCTAGTTTTAGAAAGAAAGGGTCCAGATTGTCTAGCCCAGATGATTTGTAGGGGTCCAGACTTTGCAGCTCTTTCAGAACATCAGCTGTCTGAATTTGTGTGAAGGAGAAGTCTCAACGTCAACAGTGAAGAGGCGACTCCGGGATGCTGACCTTCGAGGCAGAGTTGCAAAGAAAAAGCCATATCTCAGACTGGCCAATAAAAATAAAAGATTTTATTTATTTCACCTTTATTTAACCAGGTAAGCCAGTTGAGAACAAGTTCTCATTTACAACTGCGACCTGGCCAAGATAAAGCAAAGCAGTGCGATAAAAACAACAACACAGAGTTACATATGGGGTAAAAAAAACATAAGGTCATAAAATACAACAGAAAATATATATACAGTGTGTGCAAATGTAGCAAGTTATGGAGGTAAGGCAATAAATAGGCTATAGTGCAAAATAATTACAATTAGTATTAACACTGTAATGCTAGATGTGCAAGAGATTATGTGCAAATAGAGATACTGGGGTGCAAAAGAGCAAAATAAATAACAATATAGGGATGAGGTAGTTGGGTGGGCTAATTTCAGATGTGCTGTGTACATGTGCAGTGATCGGTAAGGTTCTCTGACAACTGATGCTTAAAGTTAGTGAGGGAGATAAGTTGGGCAGTCTGAGATATGGCTTTTTCTTTGCAACTCTGCATCTGTGTGCATAATATGTTCCAGACCTGGGTTCAAATACTATTTCAAATATCTCAATTACTTTCACATACATTTCTAAGTAAGTATTCAGATAATTTTTATTTGAAAAGACAAGTAGTTGAATATTGTTATGTATTTCACAATACTCATACACTGACTCAAATACACTCCCATGCATTTAACCCAGGTATTTTGAAAAAAGTATTTGAAAATACTTTCAAATACAAGGCTATTTATAGGAAATTAACATATTATTTGAAAATACTCAAATACATAGAAAAGAAATATTTAAATAACAAATAATCTAATACACATGTATTTTAACTCAGGTCTGATTTGTTCACATCCAAGAAGATAGGGCTATCTTTCCAGGAGCTGAATTGAGCAAACAGTTAAATTAAAGCAAAAAGAAATATGTAGATTGTGTCCAAAGTGCTATTTTATTAGGTCGGCTACAATGTTGAAGGCTGAATATATTGCTGTATTGTATTTTGACAAGCTTCAATGTTTTCTTTCCAAACCTAGATTTCCCGTGGTCTACAGAGCTGAAGCAGAATCTGAAGGATGCGTTCCAGCTCTCTAAGTTTCGTCCTCTCCAGCTGAAGGCCATCAACCTTAGTATGTCTAGTAAAGACCTCTTCATAGTGATGCCCACTGGACGAGGGAAAAGCCTCTGCTATCAGCTACCTGCAGTCTGCTCTGAGGGTAAGGGGGGAACGCACAAACATACACACGCACACAAAATACATGCATACATGCATACAGACACATACACACCAGGTGACGTGCATATACTGAAAACACTAATGTTACAGTTCATTAATTGTTGTGTGCTGTGCAAACACGTACTGCAGACAGGGCTCTAAATTAAAACATTTCATTGGTAGCACTGGTGCACCCAAATTAAAAAAGTTAGGAGCACCACATGAAATTTAGGAGCACCAGAAAATAATATTTGTTTAATTGATTGAGATACAGCCTATATGAATTTTACTTACTTTTGAAGCACATGTTGTGCCCTAGAAACGAATATGTAACACTGTAAAGACATTTGTTTATTAAAAAAGCTAAAATGTTGAAACAAATACCTATCATTGAAATTACAAAGTAATTTGGAGAATATTAGGTTTCTACATTGTGTAAAAGCACAATTTTCCAATTGAGATGCATTACATTTAAAATGATACACTATCTTTAAGAACGTCAGGTTTGTGTTGACATGCAGCAGATCTGTCATTCATTCATTCATTGCTCTCCTGAAAAAGCTATCCCTTTTCCTTTGTTTCTGTGCCCCCAAATGTTTGGATATACTGGTGAAGTTACCAGGGTATTAGCTAGCTAGCCAATGAGGTAACAAATGGTTGACAAATTCAAATAGCTTTAGAACGGCCCATGACATGGTTTATGAATGCTATAGGAAGATGTTGCACTGGTAATATGGGTCAGCCATTTTTGCTGTAGTAATGGTGCAACTATGAACGTAATAAATCTGCACTCACTTTTTCTCTAGGGCACTGGGAAACAACGGTACAGCGAAGCCTTATCATTACAACTATTATTATCAGGGAGATTCTTTCCCTAGGCGGTCTCTGCTCCCAAAATAAAACTCCTGGTTGCACAGCAACATTTTTGGTCGCATATGCAACTAAATTGGTCGCAGTTTAGAGCCCTGACTGCAGATTGTTACAGCCATTACTCGCTGCAGTGTTCTTCTAACGTGTTTGTGTGCTGCCAGGTTTCACTCTGGTCGTAACTCCTCTAGTTTCTCTGATGGAGGATCAGCTCATGTACTTAAAGTCCATTGACGTTGAAGCCGTCTCTCTCAATGCATCCAGCAGTAAGGTAATAACCAACACAAACACTTTCTACATATTATTGATACTTGGCTGGTATTGCAGGGATGTAGCTCAGTTGGTAGAGCATGGCGTTTGCAACGCCAGGGTTGTGGGTTCGATTCCCACGGGGGGTATGAAAAATAATGTATGCACTCACTAACTGTAAGTCGCTCTGGATAAGAGCGTCTGCTAAATGACTAAAATGTAAATGTATTGATTATGATTATAGCTGTAGGATTTGTGTTTGATTAGACTTCTGATATGTACCTCAGGAACATGCTAAAATGGTCCTAGCTGGGATGACCGACACCAAAGCGCCTTTCAAGCTGCTGTATGTGACTCCAGAGAAGATAGCGAAGAGCAAGCTGCTAATGTCGAGGCTAGAGAAGGCCTACAATGCAGGCAGGCTTAGCCGTATTGCTGTGGACGAGGTGCACTGCTGCAGCCAGTGGGGACACGACTTCAGACCTGGTGAGAGACTGTACTGTATATGGGCTACTTACTTTTTATTAGTCTCCTTACTTTGTTTTCGAAGGTAAAGGGCAACTCCAACAAATCACTCAAAGTAGAATTCTAATAACGCTATGTTTTACATTACAATACCCAAACAAGGATATCACCATATAATTAAACAGAACACTTCAATGTATCTCTATGCATACCACTTGCATGCCCAATAGATTGCTTCATTCTAAGTAGTATGCTGTGAGTTTTGTGTGGGGCTGATAGCCAACTACCCACTCCTCTACCGCCAGACTACAAGCTCCTGGGGATCCTGAAGAGGCAATTCCCAAAGGTTCCGTTGCTAGGGCTGACGGCCACGGCAACCAGCAGTGTTCTAAAGGACTGTCAGAAAATCCTGTGTGTCCCTGAGCCAATCACACTCACCGCCTCCTTCAACCGCACCAACCTCTACTACGAGGTGGGCGTCATGGCAACCATACACACCTGGCCTCCACCTGCTTGGCAAACACCTGTTGATGTTCTTTTGACCTTTAAAAATACACACGCTTTTGTTTCTAAAGGGAATGCTTGTTAGATTCCCGCTGTATCTCTGCACTGAAGTTTTGAGGATCTGTACTGTTTTTGTGTTTCTCAGGTACGCTTTAAAGACTCGAACAGTGATGATTCAATCAGTGACATCTCAGCACTGATCAAGGAGAGATATAAGGACCAGTCAGGTACTTTGAAAGGAAAAACAAGGATAGGTCAAAATTCAGTTTGTCCTATTTTCGAAATCATCAGCAGCTTGTTATCCAGACTATTTCAAGATGGTGTAGCAGTGCGGTCGTGTTCTTTGTTGTGTGTCCGTGTAAATAGCCTGTTTTTTATTTATTTTTCGTACATATTTCCCTATCACACTTTTCATCCCACTACTAAATATACTTTCCTGCAACCTGCCTCACTCAATGTGGAATGGATTATATTATTTACTCACCTTTATCTAGAATCTCCAGTTGAAACTAGCTAGCCAGCTAACTAGCTACTTGCTATTAGCCACCGTTAGCGGTTTTCACCCAGATCATCGGATTTTCTGCCGGAATAACTGAATCACTGGACCCTAACACCGGATCGCAACTAGCTAGCCGCAACCGAATGGATGTTGCTGTAGGCTAATCACCACTGCCCCCGAAGCAAGCACCAGTTAGCCTTGAGCCAGGCCCATATCCCAGCTATCTACCTCTTTGTCTACCGGAGGGGAGGAGCCAGCTAACTAGCTACTTGCTATTAGCCACCGTTAGCAGTTTTTCACCATTGTCCGTGGCCTGCACTACCTACCAGCCAGCTCTAGCCTGGACTATTATCGGCCAGTCTGCACTGTCTGCACAGCGCGTTATCGACCCAGAACATATCGGATTTTCTGCTGGAATCACTTAATCACTGGACCTTTAACACCTGACAACTAGCTAGCTGCAACCAAATGGATGTTGTTGTTGGCTAATCAGCCTTTAGCTAGCCTCGAGTTAGGCACATCTCCCGGCTATCTACCTCTCTGTCAACCGGACGGGACCTCCTAGAGTCGACACGGAGCCCCGCCGATCCATCACGACTGGTCTGCCGACGTAATCGTCTGTGGTTTCAACAGGCTTCCCGTTGCTACGACCACGAAGATCCATCTGCCAGCCCCGGCCCGCTAGCACACGCAAACAGCCGTGCTTCCTGCTCGCTGTGCTTTAGCACCAATTTGAACTGCTCTCGGACTCACATATTGCTGTTAACTGAACCTTATGATCACTCAGCTGCACAGCTGATGCCTGCTGGACTGTTATTTTACACGGTACCCTGTCCTGTTTATCTGTTTAGCCTCAGCCCAAACTTTCATCGCCATTACCAGTTGTTGTCTTAGCTCTCTCTAATAACACCTGTGATTGCTTTATGCCTCTCTCCCATGTCAATATGCCTTGCCTATTGCTGTTCCAGTTAGTTCTTATTATACAATTTCAATATAGAACCCCAAGTTATTCTCAAACTGCCTCAAATAGCTCCTTTGTTCCACCCCCCATACACGCCGAGACCGGCTCAATCGGTGCCTCCAGTGATGCTATCTCTTTCATTGTTACCCAACGCTTAGGTTTACCTCCACTGTACTCATATCCTTCCATATCCTTGTCTGTACATAATGCCCTGAATCTATTCTACAACGTCCGGAAATCTGCCCCCTTTATTCTCTGTACACAACGCACTAGAAGACCAGTTCTTAAAGCCTTTAGCCGTATCCTTATTCTAGTCCTCCTTTGTTCCTCTGGTGATGTAGAGGCTAACCCCTGCAGCCCCCAGTATCACTCCTACTCCCCAGGAGTTACCATTTGTTGACTTCTGTAACCGTAAAAGCCTTGGTTTTCTGCTCGTTAACATCAGAAGCCTCCTTCCTAAGTTTGAGTTATTCACTGCGTTAGCACACTCCGCAAACCCTGATGTTCTAGCAGTGTCTGAATCATGGCTTAGGAAGGTCACCAGAAATGTCCATCCCCAACTACAACATTTTCCGTCATGATAGAACTGCCAAAGGGGGTGGAGTTGCAATCTACTGTAGAGATAGCCTGCAGAGCTCTATCATACTATCCAGGTCTGTGCCCAAACAGTTTGAGCTCCTACTTCTAAAAATCCACCTTTCCAGAAATAAGTCTCTCACTGTTGCCGCTTGCTACAGACCCCTCTCAGCCCCCAGCTGTGCCCTGGACACCATATGTGAATTGATTGCCCCCCATCTATCCTCAGAGTTCGTACTGCTTGGTGACCTAAACTGGGATATGCTTAACACCCCGGCCATCCTACAATCCAAACTAGATGCCCTCAATCTCACACAAATTATCAAGGAACCTACCAGGTACAACCCTAAATCTGTAAACATGGGCACCCTCATAGATATCATCCTGACTAACTTACCCTCTAAATACACCTCCGCTGTCTTCAACCAGGATCTCAGCGATCACTGCCTTATTGCCTGCGTCCGTAACGGGTCCGCGGTCAAATGACCACCCCTCATCACTGTCAAACGCTCCCTAAAACACTTTAGCAAGCAGGCCTTCCTAATTGACCTGGCCCAGGTATCCTGGATGGATATCGATCTCATTCCGTCAATAGAGGATGCCTGGTTGTTCTTTTAAAAGTGCTTTCCTCTCAATCTTAAATAAGCATGCCCCATTCAAAAAAATTCAGAACTAAGAACAGATATAGCCCCTGGTTCTCCTCAGACTTGACTGCCCTTGACCAGCACAAAAACATCCTGTGGCGTACTGCATTAGCATCGAATAGCCCCCGCGATATGCAACTTTTCAGGGAAGTTAGGAACCAATATACACAGTCAGTTAGGAAAGCAAAGGCTAGCTTTTTCAAACAGAAATTTGCATCCTGTAGCACTACCTCCAAAAAGTTTGGGGACACTGTAAAGTCCATAGAGAATAAGAGCACCTCCTCCCAGCTGCCTACTGCACTGAGGCTAGGAAACACTATCACCACCGATAAATCTACAATAATCGAGAATTTTAACAAGCATTTTGCTACGGCTGGCCATGCTTTCCACCTGGCTACCACTACCCCGGCCACCAGCTCTGCACCCTCCGCTGCAACTTGCCCGTGCCCCCCCCGCTTCTCCTTCACACAAATTCAGACAGCTGATGTTCTGAAAGAGCTGCAAAATCTGGACCCCCTACAAATCATCTGGGCTAGACAATCTGGACCCTTTCTTTCTAAAAATAGCCTCAGAAATTGTCGCAACCCCTATTACTAGCCTGTTCAACCTCTCTTTCGTAACGTCTGAGATCCCCAGAGATTGAAAAGCTGCCGCGGTCATCCCCCTCTTCAAAGGGGGTGACACTCTAGATCCAAACTGTTACAGACCTATATCCATCCTGCCCTGCCCTTCGAAAGTTTATTTACTACCCACCACTGTGACCTGTACGCTCTTGTTGGCTGGTCCTCACTACATATTCGTCGCCAAACCCACTGGCTCCAGGCCATCTATAAATCACTGCTAGGCAAATCTCTTCCTTTATTTTAGCTCATTGGTCACCATAGCAACACCCACCTGTAGTATGCGCTCCAGCAGGTATATCTCACTGGTCATCCCCAAAGCCAACACCTCCTTTGGCTGCCATTCCTTCCAGTTCTCTGCTGCCAATGACTGGAACGAACTGCAAAAATCTCTGAAGCTGGAGACTCTTATCTCCCTCACTAACTTTAAGCGTCAGTTGTCAGAGCACCTTACCGATCACTGCACCTGTACACAGCCCTTCTGAAATTAGCCCACCCAACTACCTCATCCCCATATTGTTATTTATTTTGCTCATTTGCACCCCAGTATCTCTATTTGCACATCTCTTGCACATCTATCATTCCAGTGTTAATACTAATTGTAATTATTTTGCACTATGGCCTATTTATTGCCTTACCTCCATAACTTGCTACATTTGCACACACTGTATATATATTTTCTGTGGTATTTTTGACTTTGTTTTGTTTTACCCCATATGTAACTCTGTGTTGTTGTTTTTATCGCACTGCTTTGCTTTATCTTGGCCAGGTCGCAGTTGTAAATGAGAACTTGTTCTCAACTGGCTTACCTGGTTAAATAAAGGTGAAATAAATACAAATAAAAAAATTTATCCAAACTTGAGGTATTATGCTTCTGCTTTTGGCAGGGATAGTGTACGTGTTTTCCCAGAAGGATGCAGAGACAGTGTCAGCAGACCTACAGAAGAAAGGCATCAATGCATATCCATACCACGCTAACATGAATCCAGAGGACAAGTCACAGGTTCACCGCAAATGGGCCACCAACAAGATCCAGGTGGTGGTAGCTACTGTGGCGTTTGGGATGGGGATCGACAAGCCTGACGTCAGATTTGTCATCCATCACACCATCAGCAAGTCCATAGAGAACTACTATCAGGAGAGCGGCCGAGCAGGTAGACAACTCTTTTCTCCCATCTCATAGATTTGATAATTTAGGAATAACACCTGATCCCTTGACCTCAGAAAAGGAGGAATACTATTTCTACATTAAAAAAAAAAAAATTTCCTCTGATTTGCCAATTGTACTTTTACTTCGACTGTAGCCATGCGAGTAGCCAGTTTGTTTTTAAACACTCTTAAATAATTTTTCTCCTACCTTTATCAATACCATGGTCCTCTCTCCGTTCCTCCAGGCAGAGATGATAAGCCGGCTGACTGCATTGTGTACTTTGGCTTCAACGACATCTTCAGGATCAGCACCATGGTTGTCATGGAGAATGTAGGACAACAGAAGCTGCTGACCATGGTCGACTACTGTCAGAACGTAGACAGGTACTGAGCTGGACCAATCACAACGCTCTCATTGACATCACTAGATTACTTATGTGACAATTTTAGTTGTGTAGATAGCTGTGTGAGGATCTCAAGGGTACAGTACGTGTGTATCTCTATTGTTTTAAGGTGTCGGCGCTCAGTGATCGCTGTTCACTTTGATGAGGTTTGGGATGATGAAGGATGCAACGAGATGTGTGATGTCTGTCGCCATGGCAATGGTATGTGTATAATATGGTGAACATACCACTTTTCAAATCTAGCGTACATGGCGTGCTAGGGGCAAAGGGGTAAATTTGGAATTGGGCATATGAGTTACTCTCCCATCTAATAGAAAGATCTGGCATAATTTATATTGAGTCTTCATACCAAGTATACCTGTGTTTCCATCCAGACTACATCACGGTGGACATCACGCAGCATGCTAAAGATGTGGTCCAGATTGTGGAGCTGGCGGGCTCTCTGGACGAGAAGCTGACCCCCTTGAAGGTGACCGAGGCCTGGATGGGGAAGGGTCCGGCCAAACGCAGGAAGATGATCCAGACCACCACCCTGTCTCGCCTGGAGGTGGAGGCCATCATCACAAGCCTACTGCTGCAGGGATACCTTAGGTACTGACTGACTTAACGTTAAACCCTTTACCAGTTCAATACGCTTACTGCTGCAGGGCTACCTCAGGTAGGCCTACGACCTAGGGCATGTTCAGTGGGGCACACCATCATCATTTCAGGCAGTACCTCCCTAAAGAACACATCCTTGTCTTACATCAGGTACTGACTAAGGACAAATAGGGTTGTGAGGAGGTCACAATGGACTTGTACTACTGCACATCTGGTTGCTTTTAGAATGTTCATCTTTGTTTACCCCCTTTTTTTCTCTTCTCCACAGTGAAGACTTCAGTTTCACTCCATACACCACCTACTTCTACCTGAAGCTGGGTCGTAAGGCCCCACTGTTGAAGAACCAGAGTCACTCCATCACCATGAAGATGAGGAGGACAGGCCTGGACGCCAACACGGTCAGTACTATACAGCAATCGGTACAGGAATCATTCAAACAGGAAAGCCTTTGGGTGCATCTCAATAGGCTAAAGTGGCCTCCTTCATCTGCACATAATCGATATGATAAATGACTACCCGGTAATAGCTTTTTTTGTTGTAATTTTTCTAGTCCGTGCAGACTAAGGATAGGAAGCCACTTTTGTCTGAAATACCTCATCCAGGGATGTCTTTTCTGCTTATCACATTTTATTTGTCTATTTCTCCTTCTGTACTTCTGACTGAAATATTTCAGTGTAAATTATTTCCCTGTTTAAAGTAGTACTTTACTCAACCTGTATCTTTACTCCTTGTATCTCTTTGCCCCGTCTTCTCTCTGACATTTCAATCTGTTTATTTTGTCTTCTCTGTATCTGCCCTGTGTACCTCTATTGCTTACTTGTCTACTTACCTGCAGGTAAGTGAACTATGTTGTCAGTTTCTTTTCCTTTCAGGCCATTGGAAGAAGGATCTAGATTTTTTTTCTTCAGCATTTTGATTGTATTATTTATTCAATCACCAACAAAATCAGAGCGTTTTCCCTTTTATCTATGTTAATTATTATTTTAAAGATTGAGTAGAATCATTCTTACCACCATCACCCTTGATTGTCATAAGCATGCTTACTGTAAACGAAACACTTTTCCCTAATCACTGTAGTTCTAGTGCTGTAGGTTTTCTAAACAATGTAGTGTTGCGTAATACCAGACAGGCGCCGATATCAGGGCCCCAAGTGCAGTACAACAGCTGTAGTTTTGAGTGTTACTGAGATCTAGGCCTACTTATCTAATCCATGTTGATATTTGCTAAAGGTGACCAAGGTGCCGGTAGTGATTGATCACAATCAATCCTAACACCTTGATATGGGAATGTTTCATGTTTCTGGTTCTCCCATGTCAATCCTTAAACCTTCCTCTGCTTACGTTATTACCCACACCTAGCTTAGGTGAGTGTTTGTGTGTGTGTGTGAGTGAGAGAGACAGACAGACAGGTTAAAGCTGTTGTTGATGACCTACAGGTAAATGTGACCCAGGTAAAGACCAAAGGAGGAAAGAGATCTGGTGACAATGCTGCAAACTCCCCTGTCACCAAGTCAAGAAAGACCTCTAGTGCCCCCCTGAAGAGACCAAAGAAAAAGTACAGTTCCCTGATTCTCTATTCAACCCACTGCATCTATGGCATGGCACTGTCTGGGCAACCATGTGTATGTCAATCAGGTTAAAGACAAATATGTAACGTTGGGTCCTGAATGATATCCTTACAGAATGCATCATTATTAATAAAATAATGAAATATGCATGGTCATATTTCTGTAAACACTTAACCATTGTTACAGCTTTCTTGGTTTGTGGCCTAACTCAGTCCTGTGTGTATGTCCTATCAATGTCTACACACATGGCTGTAGATTCATTATGGAGCATGCTTTCACTAACTCACGCTATGCCACACTAACATTGGGTTTCACTAACATGGTTCTGTAAACAGCATGCCCAATCCCAAATCAACCATCTTCTTCGATTTGGGATTGGTTCTTCAGTAAAGTCAGGGGTCACTGACACTTCATGTTGTCTCCCACAGGAGGACCAATTAGCTGCTGGAGCTAAAGAGGTGGTGGTGACCTCCCAGTCCCCTCCTCCCGTTGCCCCCAACGACAGCAGCACTCCCCCTCCCAGACACAACAAACTGATCAAGATGGATAAAGAGCAGCAGAATCTGGCCGGGAAACAAGACAAGGACCATGACCAGACAGAAAGACAGACAGGGGAGGACCAGAATGACCCTGCTGCTGCCCAGCCCACTGCCATTGAAGTAGACGTAGAGATCAATATTATAGAGAAAGTTAATGACAGCGAATCCCCACTACCGCCATTAAAACTACATTCAAAACCTAAATCAACCACCCCTCAAAAGAAGCGGAGGAAACCCTGTACTGCTGCTCCTGCTGTGGTCCCAGCGCCCTCAAAAGGTGCAGTTACAGACTCTGACCACCAGAGGCCAGCATTGGTCAACTCTCCCTCCCAGGTCTCTATCATCTCCGAGGCTGCAGTGGAGGAGCTCTGTGACCTGAGGAACTATTACAGCAAACAGCTGAGGCGGATAAACTACATTTCCCATGAGTACTTGCAGAATCAGGGGTGCTGGCCTGTATCAGAGAGCCACTAAAGAGCCTGCGCCTCCCCCGTGGCGCAATCATCGCCCGGACGGCACGCAACCTGTGGACCAGAGTCAGCTCCAGAAGGAAACTCATCCAAAGATGACCCCTTGACCTTCCCTGGGACAGTTGACATTCAGATGTGGACACTACTGTACTGTATCTCTATTTTTCACGTCCAATGTTGCCAGACCTAGAGCCTTGGGGCAGACGCGTCTACTTTATTTTTGTAACTTGATGTTCTATTTTTCTGAAATGGCTTTGACTGAGAGAATATCCGCATCCAAGTTAGTTTGAGATTTTAATATTTTACGGTTGGATCAATACCACTGTTAGCCTAAGATAAAGAATGAAGAGCTGTTTTTGTTGACATTTCAATATTTTACTTTGGATAAAGTACCACACATGAACTGAAGAATGTTTTCACAATGTATTATTTGTCACTGTTTAAATGTTTTTTTTTGACATTTATATATTTTGGTTGAAAAGTTTGATGTTTTTTGCACCCGCTTCTGGTATATTTTCTGAGTTCCACTAAACCCCCAAAACACAATAAGAGCACTTATCAGGAAAATAATTACATTAAAACAATAATATTGAATCTATATACGCTGTAAAAAATGATGTTGAATCTGCTTAAAAAATTAAGGCAACAATTTACACAATATTATTGAAAAGTTTGGGGTCACTTAGAAATATCCTTGTTTTCGAAAGAAAAAGCAATTTCTTTGTCCATTATAATAACATCAAATTGATCAGAAATACAGTGTAGACATTGTTAATGTTGTAAATGGCTATTGTAGCTGGAAACGGCAGATTTTTTATGGAATATCTACATAGGCGTACAGAGGCCCATTATCAGCAACCATCAGTCCTGTGTTCCAATGGCACGTTGTTTGCTAATCCAAGTTTATCATTTTAAAAGGCTAATTGAACATTAGAAAACCCCTTTGCAATTATGTTAGCACAGCTGAAAAAGCTGATTAAAGAAGCAATACAACTGGCCTTCTTGAGACTAGTTGAGTATACATTTACATTTACGTCATTTAGCAGACGCTCTTAGCCAGAGCGACTTACAAATTGGTGCATTCACCTTATAGCCAGTGGGATAACCACTTTACAATATGTTTTTTTTTTTTCTTTTCTTTCTTTGGGGTGGGGTAAGGGGGGTAGAATAATTACTTTATCCTATCCCAGGTATTCCTTAAAGAGGTGGGGTTTCAAGTGTCTCCGGAAGGTGGTGAGTGACTCCGCTGTCCTGGCGTCGTGAGGGAGCTTGTTCCACCATTGGGGTGCCAGGGCAGCGAACAGTTTTGACTGGGCTGAGCGGGAACTGTACTTCCACAGAGGTAGGGGGGCCAGCAGGCCAGAGGTGGATGAACGCAATGCCCTCGTTTGGGTGTAGGGACTGATCAGAGCCTGAAGGTACGGAGGTGCCGTTCCCCTCACAGCTCCGTAGGCAAGCACCATGGTCTTGTAGAAGATGCAAGCTTCAACTGGAAGCCTGTGGAGTGTGCGGAGGAGCGGGGTGACGTGAGAGAACTTGGGAAGGTTGAACACCAGACGGGCTGCGGCATTCTGGATGAGTTGTAGGGGTTTCATGGCACAGGCAGGGAGCCCAGCCAACAGCGAGTTGCAGTAATCCAGACGGGAGATGACAAGTGCCTGGATTAGGACCTGTGCCGCTTCCTGTGTAAGGCAGGGTCGTACTCTCCGAATGTTGTAGAGCATGAACCTACAGGATCGGGTCCGCCTTGATGTTAGCGGAGAACGACAGGGTGTTGTCCAGGGTCACGCCAAGGCTCTTCGCACTCTGGGAGGAGGACACAACGGAGTTGTCAACCGTGATGGCGAGATCATGGAACGGGCAGTCCTTCCCCGGGAGGAAGAGCAGCTCCGTCTTGCCGAGGTTCAGCTTGAGGTGGTGATCCGTCATCCACGCTGATATGTCTGCAAGACATGCAGAGATGCGATTTGCCACCTGGTTATCAGAATGGGGAAAGGAGAAGATTAGTTGTGTGTCGTCTGCGTAGCAATGATAGGAGAGGCAATGTGAGGATATGACAGAGCCAAGTGACTTGGTGTATAGCGAGAATAGGAGAGGGCCTAGAACTGAGCCCTGGGGGACACCAGTGGTGAGAGCACGTGGTGCAGAGACAGATTCTCGCCACGCCACTTGGTAGGAGCGACCGGTCAGGGAGGACGCAATCCAAGAGTGAGCCGCGCCGGAGATGCCCAACTCGGAGAGGGTGGAGAGGAGGATCTGATGGTTCACAGTATCAAAGGCAGCAGACAGGTCTAGAAGGACAAGAGCAGAGGAGAGAGAATTAGCTTTAGCAGTGCGGAGAGCCTCCGTGACACAGAGAAGAGCAGTCTCAGTTGATTGACCAGTCTTGAAACCTGACTGGTTTGGATCAAGAAGGTCATTCTGAGAGAGATAGCAAGAGAGTTGGCTAAAGACGGCACGCTCAAGAGTTTTGGAGAGAAAAGAAAGAAGGGATACTGGTCTGTAGTTGTTGACATCGGAGGGATCAGGTGTAGGTTTTTTGAGAAGGGGTGCAACTCTCGCTCTCTTGAAGACGGAAGGGACATAGCCAGCGGTCAAGGATGAGTTGATGAGTGAGGTAAGGTAAGGGAGAAGGTCACCGGAGATGGTCTGGAGAAGAGAGGAGGGGATAGGGTCAAGCGGGCAGGTTGTAGGGCGGCCGGCCGTCACAAGTCGCAAGATTTCATCTGGAGAGAGAGGGGAGAAAGAAGTCAAAGCATAGGGTAGGGCAGTGTGAGCAGGACCAGCAGTGTCATTTGACTTAACAAACGAGGATCGGATGTTGTCAACCTTCTTTTCAAAATGGTTGACGAAGTCATCCACAGAGAGGGAGGAGGGGGGGGGAAGGGGAGGAGGATTCAGCAGGGAGGAGAAGGTGGCAAAGAGCTTCCTAGGGTTAGAGGCAGATGCTTGGAATTTAGAGTGGTAGAAAGTGGCTTTAGCAGCAGAAACAGATGAAGAAAATGTAGAGAGGAGGGAGTGAAAAGATGCCAGGTCCGCAGGGAGTCTAGTTTTCCTCCATTTCCAATCGGCTGCCCGGAGCCCTGTTCTGTGAGCTCGCAATGAGTCGTGAAGCCACGGAGCAGGAGGGGAGGACCGAGCCGGCCGGGAGGATAGGGGACATAGAGAGTCAAAGGATGCAGAAAGGGAGGAGAGAAGGGTTGAGGAGGCAGAATCAGGAGATTGGAGGGAGAGCGAAGGTTGCGACGGCACATTACCATCTGAGTAGGGGCAGAGTGAGTATTGTTGGAGGAGAGCGAGAGAGAAAAGGATACAAAGTAGTGGTCGGAGACATGGAGGGGAGTTGCAGTGAGATTAGTAGAAGAACAGCATCTAGTAAAGATGAGGTCAAGCGTATTGCCTGCCTTATGAGTAGGGGGGGACGGTGAGAGGGTGAGGTCAAAAGAGGAGAGGAGTGGAAAGAAGGAGGCAGAGAGAAGACGTAGGGAGGTTGAAGTCACCCAGAACTGTGAGGGGTGAGCTATCCTCAGGAAAGGAACTTATCAAGGCGTCAAGCTCATTGATGAACTCTCCAAGGGAACCTGGAGGGCGATAAATGACAAGGATGTTAAGCTTGAATGGGCTAGTGACTGTGACAGCATGGAATTCAAATGAGGAGATAGACAGATGGGTCAGGGGAAAAAGAGAGAATGTCCACTTGGGAGAGATGAGGATTCCTGTGCCACCACCCCGCTGACCAGATGCTCTCGGGGTATGCGAGAACACATGGTCAGACGAGGAGAGAGCAGTAGGAGTAGCAGAGTTTTCAGTGGTAATCCATGTTTCCGTCAGCGCCAAGAAGTCGAGGGACTGGAGGGTAGCATAGGCTGAGATTAACTCTGCCTTGTTGGCCGCAGAACGGCAGTTCCAGAGGCTGCCGGAGACCTGGAACTCCACGTGGGTCGTGCGTGCAGGGACCACCAGGTTAGAGAGGCAGCAGCCACACGGTGTGAGGCGTTTGTATAGCCTGTGCGGAGAGGAGAGAACAGGGATAGACAGAGGCATAGTTGACAGTCTACAGAAAATGGCTACAATAATGCAAAGGAGATCGGAATGGAATGAACTAAACATCTGGGAAAGCGAGAGAGCGCCTCACCTACGTTTCACTGAAACACCCAAATATAACTCTCCCAACTTCCACCTCAGAAACTATAATTGTTGTAAACTACACCAGTTCAATGTTTTCTAGGAATAGACAAACTTAGTTTATTCAGCTAGCTAACTTGGTACAGTATTCTTCCGTGAAAACCGTCCAGGGCACCTAGTCATATGACGCCACAGCCAACTAGCATGCCGGCCTCCAACAACACGGTTTAGCACCAATACTCGGCCACAACAAACCACCAGTGTGTCAACACGCCAAGCAGATCATTCGTGTCCGTGTCTAACGTTGTGGGTTAGTCCCGACAGCTTGAGCGAGTCCGTCGTCAACTTTTTCAGCCACATAGGCGTATCTGGAGCATCAGCAATTGTAGGTTCGATTACAAGCTCAAAATGGCCAGAAACAAATAACTTCTGAAACTCGGCAGTCTATTCTTGTTCTGAGAAATGAAGGCTATTCTATTCGAGAAATTACCAAGAAACTGAAGATCTCGTACAACGCTGTGTACTACTCCCTTCACAGAACAGCGCAAACTGACTCTAACCAGAATAGAAAGAGGAGTGGGACGCCCCAGTGCACAACTGAGTAAGAGGACAAATACATTAGTGTCTAGTTTGAGAAACAGGTCCTCAACTGGCAGCTTCATTAAATAGTAGCCACAAAACACCAGTCTCAACGTCAACAGTGAAGAGGCGACTCCGGGATGCTGACCTTCTAGGCAGAGTTGCAAAGAAAAAGCCATATCTCAGACTGGCCAATAAAAATAAAAGATTAAGATGGGCAAAAGAACACAGACACTGGACAGAGGAAGATTGGAAAAAAAGTGTTATGGACAGACAAATCGAAGTTTGAGGTGTTCGGATCACATTTGTGAGATGCAGACCAAATGAAAAGATGCTGGAGGAGTGCTTGATGCCATCTGTCAAGCATGGTGGAGGCAATGTGATGGTCTGGGGGTGCTTTGGTGGTGGTAAAGTGGGAGATTTGTACAGGGTAAAAGGGATCTTGAAGAAGGAAGGCTATCACTCCATTTTGCAATGCCATGCAATACCCTGTGGACGGCGCTTGATTAGAGCCAATTTCCTCCTACAACAGGACAATGACCCAAAGCACAGCTCCAAACTATACAATAACTATTTAGGGAAGAAGCAGTCAGCTGGTATTCTGTCTATAATGGAGTGGCCAGCACAGTCACCGGATCTCAATCATATTGAGCTGTTGTGGGAGCAGCTTGACCGTATGGTACGTAAGAAGTGCCCATCAAGCCAATCCAACTTGTGGGAGGTGCTTCAGGAAGCATGGGGTGAAATCTCTTCAGATTACCACAACAAATTGACAACTAGAATGCCTAAGGCTGTAATTGCTGCAAATGGGAAGATTATTTGACGAAAGCAAAGGACACAATTATTATTTCTAACCTTGTCAATGTCTACATTTCCTATTCAAACTCATTTCATGTATTTTTTCATGGAAAACAAGGACATTTCTAAGTGACCCCAAACTTTTGAACGGTAGTGTAATTACCTATGTTTTTGAATAAAAACACTTCCCGAGTAGCGCAGTGGTCTAAGGCACTGCATTGCAGTGCTAGCTGTGCCACTAGAGATCCTGGTTCGAATCCAGGCTCTGTCGTAGCTGGCCGCGACCGGGAGACCCATGGGGCGGCAAATAATTGGCCCAGGGTAGGGGAGGGAATGGCCGGCAGGGATGTAGCCCAGTTGATAGAGCATGGCGTTTGCAACGCCAGGGTTGTGGGTTCGATTCCCACGGGAGGCCAGTATGAAAAAATAAAATAATGTAGGCACTCACTATAAGAGTCGCTCTGGATAAGAGCGTCTGCTAAATGACTAAAATGTAAATGTAATAAGTTATTCAAATGTACACAATTAAAGTCCAGGGAAATAAGAATAGCCGTAATATGAATGAGATTTACTTAATTTCTGATTAGTTACTTTCAGTGATGGTGTCTTAATGTTTAACATTGTTTAATGTATTAGTTCATTTGCCAGCTGGTACAGTTGGTACAGTTGAGGTTGGAAATGTACATACTTAGGTTGGAGTCATTAAAACTTGTTTTTCAACCACTCCACACATTTCTTGTTAACAAACTGTAGTTTTGGCAAATCGGTTTGGACATCTACTTTGTGCATGACACAAGTAATTTTTCCAACAATTGTTTACAGACAGATTATTTAATTTATAATTCACTGTATCACAATTCCAGTGGGTCAGAAGTTTACATACACTAAGTTGAATATGCCTTTAAACAGCTTGGAAAATTCCAGAAAATGTCATGGCTTTAGAAACTTCTGATAGGCTAATTGACATAATTTGAGTCAATTGGAGGTGTACCTGTTGATGTATTTCAAGGCCTACCTTCAAACTCAGTGCCTCTTTCCTTGACATCATGGGAAAATCAAAAGAAATCAGCCAAGACCTCAGAAAATAAATTGTAGACCTCCACAAGTCTGGTTCATCCTTGGGAGCAATTTCCAAATGCCTGAAGGTACCACGTTCATATGTACAAACAATAGTATGCAAGTATAAACACCATGGGACCACGCAGCCATCATACCGCTCAGGAAGGAGACGCGTTCTGTCTCCTAGAGATGAACGTACTTTGGTGCAAAAAGTGCAAATCAATCCCAGAACAACAGCAAAGGACCCTGTGAAGATGCTGGAGGAAACAGGTACAAAAGTATCTATATCCACAGTAAAACAAGTCCTATATCGACATACCCTGAAAGGCCGCTCAGCAAGGAAGAAGCCACTGCTCCAAAACCGCCATAAAAAAGCCAGACTACGGTTTGTAATTGCACATGGGGACAACGATTGTACTTTCTGGAGAAATGTCCTCTGGTCTGATGAAACAAAAATAGAACTGTTTGGCCATAATGACCATTGTTATGTTTGGAGGAAAAAGGGGGTACTTGCAAGCCGAAGAACACCATCCCAACCGTGAAGCACGGGGGTGGCAGCATCATGCTGTGGGGGTGCTTTGCTGCAGGAGGGACTGGTGCACTTCATAAAATAGATGGCATTATGAGGAAGGAAAATTATGTGGATATATTGAAGCAACATCTCAAGACATCAGTAAGGAAGTTAAAGCTTGGTCGCAAATGGGTCTTCCAAATGGACAATGACCCCAAGCATACTTCCAAAATTGTGGCAAAATGGCTTAAGGACAACAAAGTCAAGGTATTGGAGTGGCCATCACAAAGCCCTGACCTCAATCCTATAGAAGATGTGTGGGCAGAACTGAAAAAGCATATACGAGCAAGGAGGCCTACAAACCTGACTCAGTTACACCAGCTCTGTCAGGAGGAATGGGCCAAAATTCACCCAACTTATTGTGGGAAGCTTGTGGAAGGCTACCCGAAACGTTTGACCCAAGTTAAACAATTTAAAAGCAATGCTACCAAATACTAATTGAGTGAATGTAAACTTCTGACCCACTGGGAATGTGATGAAAGAAATAAAAGCTGAAATAAATCATTCTCTCTACTATTATTCTGACATTTCACATTCTTAAAATAAAGTGGTGATCCTAACTGACCTAAGACAGGGAATTTTTACTAGGATTAAATGTCAGGAATTGTGAAAAACAGAGTTTAAATGTATTTGGCTAAGGTGTATGTAAACTTACGACTTCAACTGTATTGTTAAGTGCTCAATCAACCTGCAGTAACTGGAGGTAGAACTGCAAGCATTACAATGTGCTGCATTTGCCTCTGTCATTTAGGGTGCTGATGGTGGAAATGTGTGGTCTCACCATTGAATGACTGTTTTGATATCCGTTCATCTTGATCCATTACACAACAAGCTGCTTAATCATAATATATAAATATACTTTTCTTTCTTCAAACATGTATACACGAAAAGTGGAATTTCCCTGTAGACAATAACAGTACAGTGGCTTGCGAAAGTATTCACCCCCCTTGGCATTTTTCCTATTTTGTTGCCTTACAAACTGGATTTAAAATGTATTTTTGGGGGGTTTGTATAATTTGATTTACACAACATGCCTACCACTTTGAAGATGCAAAATATTTTTTCTTATGAAACAAACAAGAAATAAGAAAAAAAAAAGCAGAAAACTGGAGCGTGTATAACTATTCACCCCCCCAGAGTCAATACTTTGTAGAGCCACCTTTTGCAGCAATTACAGCTGCAAGTCTCTTGGGGTATGTCTCTATAAGCTTGGCACATCTAGCCACTGGGATTTTTGCCCATTCTTCAAGGCAAAACTGCCCCAGCTCCTTCAAGTTTAATGGGTTCCGCTGGTTTACAGCAATCTTTAAGCCATACCACAGATTCTCAATTGGATTGAGGTCTGGGCCATTCCAAGACATTTAAATGTTTCCCCGTAAACCACTCGAGTGTTGCTTAAGCAGTATGCTTAGGGTCATTGTCCTGCTGGAAGGTGAACCTCCGACCCAGTCTCAAATCTCTGGAAGACTGAAATAGGTTTCCCCTCAAGAATTTCCCTTTATTTAGCGCCATCCATCATTCCTTCAATTCTGACCAGTTTCCCAGTCCCTGCCGATGAAAAACATCCCCACAGCATGATGCTGCCACCACCATGCTTCGCTGTGGGGATGGTGTTCTCAGGGTGATGAGAGGTGTTGGGTTTGCGCCAGACATAGCGTTTTTCTTGATGGCCAAAAAGCTCAATTTTAGTCTCATCTGACCAGAGTACCTTCTTCCATATGTTTGGGGAGTCTCCCACATGCCTTTTGGCGAACACCAAATGTGTTTGCTTATTTTTTTCTATAAGCAATTACTTTTTTCTGGCCACGCTTCCGCTCTGTGGAGTGTACGGCTTAAAGTGGTCCTATGGACAGATAGTCCAATCTCCGCTGTGGAGCTTTGCAGCTCCTTCAGGGTTATCTTTGGTCTCTTTATTGCCTCTCTGATTAATGCCCTCCTTGCCTGGTCCATGAGATTTGGTGGGAGGCCCTCTCTTGGCAGGTTTGTTGTGGTGCCATATTCTTTCCATTTTTTATAATGGATTTAATGGTGCTCTGTGGGATGTTCAAAGTTTCTGATATTTTTTTATAACCCAACCCTGATCTGTACTTCTCCACAACTTTGTCCCTAACCTGTTTGGAGCGCTCCTTGGTCTTCATGGTGCCGCTTGCTTGGTGGTGTCCCTTGCTTAGTGGGATTGCAGACTCTGGGGCCTTTCAGAACAGGTGTATATATACTGAGATCATGTGACAGATCATGTGACACTTAGATTGCACTCAGGTGGACTTTATTTAACTAATTATGTGACTTATTATTTAGGGGCTTCATAGCAAAGGGGGTGAATACATATGCACGCACCACTTTTCCATTATTTATTTTTTAGAATTTTTTGAAACAAGTAATTTTTTTCATTCCACTTCACCAATTTGGACTATTTTGTGTATGTCCATTACATGAAATGCAAATAAAATCCATTGAAATTACAGGTTGTAATGCAACAAAATAGGAAAAACGCAAGGGAGGATGAATACTTTTGCAAGGCACTGTACATTTAACTATAATATATATATATATATTTGAGATTTTAGAACAAGACCATTTCAGACAAAAGAATGGCAGAATGTCGATATACTCACACTAGTTCCAAGGCAATCCCTCCGTTTCCAACGACTACAATTCGCTTGGCTTTGGATAACCGCTTCTGAAACTCCTGCCAGCACAAAAGACATCATGAGTACTAGATTAACTGAAGTGAATGGGTGCTAAAGAAACAAATCTGTACTGGGAAGCCATTGTAAAGTACCTGGGCACTGTCTGTGTCTCGTATCCCCAGCACAAAGGGGTTATCCTGGGTAAGGAGTTTGGGTCTGCCCCCGCTACAGATACACAGCTTCTCATAGTGGATCTCCAGACCATCCACAGTCAGCAAAGTCTGAGAGAAGCAGGAAGGAAGATCACGTTATGCTTGCATTTTCATAGCATTTACTGTACTGTATGCATGCCCTGTATGAAATGGGTAACATAGTAATTCACGAAAAGACATCCACAAGGTGGTAGTGTTGGATAGGGATTTATGCCTGGGACCTAATGGTACACTACATATACAAAAGTATGTGGACACCTGTTCAAATTAGTGGATTCGGCTATTTCAGCCACAGCCGTTGCTGACAGGTGTATAAAATCGAGCACACAGCCGTGCAATCTCCATAGACAATCAGTGTCTTTCAACGTGGCAATGTCATAGGATGCCACCTTTCCAACAAGTCAGTTCATCAAATGTCTGCCCTGCTAGAGCTGCCCCGGTCAATTGTAAGTGCTGGAATTGTGAAAACGTCTAGGAGCAACAATGGCCCAGCCGCGAAGTGGTAGGCCACACAAGCTCACAGAACGTGACTGCCGAGTGCTGAAACGCGTAAAAATGTCTGTCCTCGGTTGCAACACTCAGTTCCAAACTGCCTCTGGAAGCAACATCAGCACAATAACTGTTCGTCGGGAGCTTCATGAAATGGGTTTCCATGGCCGAGCAGCCACACACAAGCCTAAGATCACCATGCACAATGCCAAGCGTCAGCTGGAGTGGTGTAAAGCTTGCTACCATTAGACTCTGGAGAGGTGGAAACTCGCTCTCTGGAGTGATGAATCATGCTTCACCATCTGGCAGTCCGATGGACAAATCTGGGTTTGGCGGACTCCAGGAGAATGCTACCTGCCTGAATGCAGTGCCAACTGTAAAGTTTGGTGGAGGAGGAATAATGGTCTGGGGCTCTGTTTCATGGTTCGGGCTAGGCCCCTTAGTTCCAGTGAAGGAAAATCTTAACGCTACAGCATACAATGACATTCTAGACAATTCTGTGCTTCCAACTTTGTGGCAACAGTTTGGGGAAGGCCCTTTCCTGTTTCAGCATGACAATGCCCCCATGCTCAAAGTGAGGTCCATACAAAAATGGTTTGTCGAGATCGGTGTGGAAGAATTTGACTGGCCTGCACAGAGCCCTGACCTCAACCCCATCAAACACCTTTGGGATTAATTGGAACGCCGACTGTGAGCCAGGCCTAATCGCCCGACCTCACTAATGCTCTTGTGGCTAAATGTTCCAACATCTAGTGGAAAGTCTTCCCAGAAGAGTGGAGGCTGTTATAGCAGCAAAGGGGGGACCAACTCCATATTAATGCCCATGATTTTGGAATGAGATGTTCGACGGTTATATTAATATAGATAGCTATAATTTAACTGTATACATTATTATAAATATACCACACATTAGCCTAATCTAATGCATTTCAGCCTGTGTGTTTACTATTTAAACTCACGTGATGTTGTGCATGAAGGGCCTTCACTGCAGACTGGATGACTCTCAGGTTGGAGTACTTTTCCTCTAGAACACTGGAGGGCCTCTCCTCCACATCAAACTCCTCCAGTGTCTTAGATACCTGGCCAGGGAGGGGAGTGTATGGGTTACCGTTAGGGCATAAGGAATTACTACGGACAGATCTATTGTAGACATAGCTATAGTATTAACTCATAAACAAATGTTATTTTGAACAGATTAGTAGTCTATAATAGAATACAGTCTAATAGAATATAACTTTTATATTTGACACAATTCAATAATCATTATAGCTAGTCTATATGTGTATGATCACCTGTTTGAAGTTGCAGACTGCCTTAATCAGGGGGGCTGCTGTCAGGAGAGCAACATCAGCTGATGGGAACTGGGAGGCCAGCTGTCAAAGACAATCACACAACAGTTTAACATGTCAAGTTGACAATGTTACAGGCAGTACAGGCAGTTTGACAAAGTGCACAGTGGTCTCACCTGCTCAGCACACGTTACACCTGCAATGCCGCCTCCGACGACCACAAACTTGAATGTCTTTTCTATATTTGCTGCCATCACTGTTCAGCTAAGCTAGCAAGTTAGCATGCCTGCATTGACAGAAGTTGGAGTTCTCGCGCAATGTCCTTAACCCTTAATACCCAATTTCATTGTATCAGTTTCTACTGGACTGCACTGTATGCTGCCAAATTGTTTTATGTAAAATAAACTAGCAATACAGTGTTTAAATGCATTACATTCACTAGTTTGTTGCTCTGAATTGTCTACGTACTGCACTTCCTTGTTTGTAACCAAACTATGGCAAGCGGCTGGGTCAAAAGTAAATTTCATTATGCAGAGAGAAACATGGATCGTAAAGGACAGGGAATGTGGATTTTCTCCTTTGCAAATTGAAAAAAAACTCTCTACTAGCAAAAGCATGCATGTTTTACCCCAGAATATTTTCAGAATATTCAAACTATATGCTTATTATTTTCAAAACACAAAATTGGTGTGGCCTTTTTATTGGGACAGTTCAATCAATGGCTCTCTCTCCTCTAGCCAAACAGTGATGCCACCAGCATGCGTCACTAGTTATATAAATAGAGAGTGGAGGCATCCAGACAGAAATAAAACCTTCAGAATGAGAAAAACGACTTTGTAAAAAGAAAACATTGTAGAAACAGTGATAAGGAATGCCCTAGTTTTCCCCCATCAATATAGGGAGAGTGGCTGGGCAATCTGTCATGCATACAAACCAACATTACCACCGCCCTGACAGTTTCAATTTCAGCCCCTCCGATTGAATGCCCTCTCAACCTAGCCTCTTGGGCCACACTGACCTTTGTAGGGGGCTATTCTTTATTTGGTGATCAGGGTGTGGGTGAGCACATTTGGAAACCTGATCTCATGTGAAATAAATGTGACAAAATGAAGATGCAACATTTTAACATGTGATACCACGAACCTACACATGTGACAACATTTTAGCACATGTGAAAACCCAGGTGTCAAATGTCATTGAGAATATTTTACTTTAAAAGGCATAATTTACATAAATTTTATTTCAATAGTCATGGTCTTGCAGGTTTTGTCTTGTTCCCGGTTTGTCCCAGGGACTCCCCAAGAAAATATTTAGAACGTTCTTAGAACGCTGTTTCATGGTCCCCTGGAGGTTTTTGTCTAGTTGCGGTCAGTGCTTGACTTGGACTGAAATAGGTGCCAGTACTGTTTACATTTAGGTGCAGGAGTTCCATAATATTTTTGAGCTAATATTCTATAAGAGGTGCAGGAGCTCAAGCAGTAGAACATTTGAGGAGCCGGTACTCAGCTCGGTTGAGCTCCTGCCCAAGTCAAGCACTGGTTGCAGTGAAAATACAGTAAATCTACAACAAGTTACTGTATTTCTTACAGTTAAATTAAGGTGTTAATGTTAGAGAACAGTATGCTGTTGTATGCTGATTACTTGGGCCTCAACCTCACTTGGGATTTGAACTCACAACCTCTTGGTTGCTAGCTACTTGATGTTAGTGCTGCATCACCAGGTCTGTGGACATAATGGAGATTGGCTATAAATATACAATGGCCAGTTTATTAGGTACACCACCCCGTTCACGAAATGGTTCACTTCTACAGACAGTAAGTCACGTGGCCGTGGCTTGCTATATAAAGCAGGCAGACAGGCATCGAGGCATTCAGTCAGTGTTCAATTGAACTTTAGAATGGGCAAAACAAGTGACCTAAGTGACTTTGAGCGTGGTATGATCGTCAGTGCCAGGTGCGCCGGTTCTAGTATCTCAGAAACGGCCGGCCTTCTGGGCATTTCACGCACGACAGTGTCTAGGGTTTACCGAGAATGGTGCGACAAACAAAAAACATCCAGTCAGCAGCAGTCCTGTGGGCGAAAACCGCTCGTTGATGAAAGCTAACAAGCGGGCCACAAACAGGCAAATAATGGCGCAGTACAACTAGTCGGTTCTTGTCACGGATGGGCTATTGCAGCAGACAACCACACCGGGTTCCACTCCTATCAGCTAAAATCAAGAAAAAACTGCTCCAGTGGGCACCCAATCACCAACACTGGACAATTAAGGAGTGGAAAAACATTGCCTGGTCCGACGAATCCCGGTTCCTGTTGCGTCATGTTGATGGCATAGTCAGGATTTGGCGTAAGCAGCATGAGCCCATGGCCCCATCCTGCCTGGTGTCAATGGTACAGGCTGGTGGCGGTCGTGTAATGGTGTGGGGAATGTTTTCCTGCTACATGTTAGGTCCCTTGATACCAATAAAGCAACGTTTCCATGCACCGAATAATTCAGGCTGTTCTGGAGGCAAAGGGGGGTCCGACCCGATACTAAATGGGTGTACCTAATAAACTAGTGTATTGCCAATAATATATTTCTGCACTTTGCCTAAAGTATAAAATGACAGTATGCCTTGCCTAAAGTATAAAATGACAGTATGCTACTGTTTTCTGATTTCAATTAGTGTAAACAATATTGCATAACTTTGTAAGCTATACCACAATAAACATAAAGTTCAAATGCCGAGACTCCGAGATCATTGATTGAATGTTTTTAAGTGACTATATTTAGGCTAGTTTCATTAACAGTAAACAAACGCAGTAAACAAAGGGCGAATGGATATCCAAATAACCAAAACATAGCCTACAGCCTACTACAGTGAGATGCAGCCATGCTGTCTTGCCAAGAAATAGGCCTTTAGGCCTGCTTCAAACATGGAAAATCATGCTGCTCATGAGTACAGCAACACGTTGTGATATGGCACAATACACATTCTTTTTGTTTTGGCTCTGTGCTCCAGCCCTTTGGATTTGAAATTATACAATGACTATGCGGTTAAAGTGCAGACTGTCAGCTTTAATGTGAGGGCATTTTCATCCATATCGGGTGAACCGTTTAGAAATTACAGCACTTTTTGTAGGCTACATAGTCCCCCCATTTTAGGAGACCAAAAGTATTGGGACAAATTCACTTATATGCGTACTAAAGTAGTCAAAGGTTTAGTATTTGGTCCCATATTCCTAGCACGCAATGATTACATCAAGCTTGTGACTCTACTAATGTGTTGGATGCATTTGCTGTTTGTTTTGGTTGTGTTTCAGATTATTTTGTTCCCAATAGAAATTAATTTTAAATAATGTATTGTGTCATTGTGGAGTAACTTTTATTGTAAATAAGAATTGAATATGTTGCTAAACACTTCTACATGAATGTGGATGCTACCATGATTACGGATAGTCCTGAATGAATCTTGAATAATGATGAGTGAGAATGTTACAGACACACAAATATCATACTCCCAAGACATGCTAACCACTCACCAATAACAGGGAGGTTAGCATTTTTGGGGGGTTTGATAATTGTTAGTTGCTTTTGACTGGAGTAATTTGTTTGGGGGATTGAGAAAACTGAGGTTTCTGTGCACCATGGTGGCTGTAAACTTAAATCCGGGGTCTGTCAAAGCCTTCAGCATCCCTGTAGCCTCGATTCTTACTTCTGTGTTAAATGAACGCGTACATTCGATGTCAGAGAGGAACTTCACAATGCTGTCACAACTTTTAACAACCACTGACACAGTAACCAGGTGTCCCCTTCTCCTTTGGCTTTGTTTGGGTACCAATTTCTGATACACATCGTGGCAGTGGCAGATTACCTGGTTCGAGCTAGCTAAATAGGCCGCTAAGGCTAATAACACCAATGCTTTATACAGCTAGCTAAGAAGCTAACTAACCTCTGTAGTGGTGGGGCGTGAGGCAGAGCTGAGTGAAGCAGCCTCAACGATAAACTTGACCCCTCCCTTATAAATCAAAATCAAATATTACAGGTGGAGGCGTTTCGCGTTATTCACTTAACCTACCACAGATGAGAAGCTTTTTTCTCTCGCTGTTATTGGAAACCCAAAGGAGTCATACATAACCACCCCAGTGGCTTTCCATAGCCCCCCTACACACACTGCAGCGTGCTATGTCCATTGTGCTGACACAGCGCAGCAGAGATACATATTTTACGCCAACCTGTCACTCAATCATTTGAACTTTTTTGCTATTTTTATATAGGGACATAAAACAATTTTTATATAGGAACATCAAATCTAATGGAGTCAGCCAGGGCCTATGACAAGATGACGCCGACGAACATGGTAGCCTCACCTTGAGCTCCTACAAAACTTTGCAGATTTCTACTTTGTCTAGTGTTTTTTCTAGTGTTTTTCTCTCATTTTCTTACTCTGTTTCGTGTATTACTTCATACACCCAGGTAGAACTATTGGAATATGAATTGCTGGGTACTCACTGCAGCGGAACAATGGTCTAGCCTCTTCAATGAGGCGCCTGGTAGCCTGGGAGTCCTACTGAAGGAAAGGAACACGCTGAGTGAGAGGCAGACGTGGAGGGGTCTTAGTGAGTTTGAGACACCGGGCAACCCATCCTTCATTACCGAGCATACTACTTGCCGAGCATACTACTTGCCATTACCGAGCAACATACTCTGTTTTTCTGAGATTGGCAAACAGAATATATACAACCAGCGGGTTTTACAGTTCATCTAGCGGATAGGAAGTGGACTCTCTCTGGCAAGAACAAAGGCGGTGGTGTCGGCATCATGACCAATAACAAGTGGTGCGATGGGGGAAACGTACAGGAACTTCGAGCTTGTGCTCTCTCGACTTTGAATACTTGATCATCAAATGCTGCTCTTTTTACCTTCTGAGAGAGTTCACAGGCATTATCGCCACGGCTGTGTACATCCCGCCCAAAGTCGATACCAAAAATGCTCTCAAAGATCTTCATTGGACCCTAAACAAACTGGAGACCTCGTACCCGGAGGCAGAGTTCATTGTCGCGGGGGACTTTAACAAAAGTAATTTGACGTCCGTGCTCACGAATTACTATCAACACATTGAAATTCCATTGACTACGACTCCATTTTGCTCCTCCTACAAACAAAGACTCAAGAGGGAAGTTCCGGTGGTCAGATCTGTACAACGCTGGTCTGACCAATCAGAATCCATGCTCCAAGACTGTTTTGATCACGTGGACTGGAATGTCTTCCAGGGCG